GAAACATTTTTTTAAAAAAGAAAAAAAGCACTGCTTAAGAGGCTACCCTTGGTGGACCTTCTAATTTGTAATAGGGCTCTTGGGAGGAGGTGGTCTCTGAGAGATATCAAGCCAAAAAATCTCTAGGATATAAAACACCATCTTGTGGCTGTAGAACAACAGGGAGCTGGTGAAGACATTGGAGCAAAATTGAAGTTTTCAAAAGCAATAACAATGATGGGCGGATGAGCTTCAGTCTGTGGCATATTAAAAACTCAGAATGAGCACTTTCCACATTTGCTTAGCCTTAGTATTAAGTGTCAACCACTATATGAACCCCCCCTTTAGCTATGCTATCATTTTACATAATATTAATGATTCAGTGTATTTTAATACTAGATATTGATTTTGTTCCAGGTTGCTATGCTGGGATTATTTTTAAAATGCTATGCTGTTTCATCATTAGATGGATGTTAATCAACTTCTATTGTTGCTTGTGCAAACATAAAAGCAAATTTAATTGCTGTGGGCGGGGAGGCCTGTCCCCTCAAAACCCTCTTTGTCTCCAATACTTGTGCTGCTCACTTCCTACCCTTAACAGCACAAAGGAATCTTTGTGAAAAGCAAATACACAAATTGGTTGTGATCATGACAAAGCCAGATTCATTGGTGGGTATAATATAAGCGAGTTTTCCTCAGGACTCTGGCAGCAATGCACAGATAAGGAACTAATTCAGTCAAAACAAATCTCTCACTCACAATGTAGACTGAAAAGAGAGGTTGCAACGTTTAGTATATGAAAAGGAGGCAACTTGTTAAATCTAATACATAGCAAGAAGAAAACATTCAAGGATGTAATACACCAAGATGAAAACAAACCACATCTACATAGCAACAGTTGATCCGAGAGCGCCCTCTTCTGCTCTCGAGAGAAAATTGTTGATTCTTTCTGAGGCAAATATTGATGAAACATCATTATTTATTAGGTGTGTTTTCCCCAAAAGTCTTGCCATTCGGGGGGGGGGGGCAGACAGGTACCCAATTCACAACGCAGTGGCAATCCAGAGACTGGATTATACCACTTAATGCAGCAAGGGGAGATGTGTTCATATAGATTCATAGAACTGTAGAATTGGAAAGGACCACAAGATTCCTCTAGTCCAACTCCTTGCAATGCAGGGATCTTTTGGCCAACATGGGGCTCAAACCCAGACCCTGAGATTAATAGTCATGTTCCACTGAATGCCTGTCCATTTAAAAAAAAAAATCCATTTAGAAGACTAGCTATCAGTAAGAAGGCTTGCCTAATACCTCCCTCATTAACATGCTAATTTTCTAAGTGAGGGATTCATGTATGTGTGAAGGAACATACAACAACTTGGGAGTCTGGAGTGTTGCTGCCCATACATTTAGTTTTTTAACCACCTCAGTGAAAATTCAGCCGAAGCTGGTCCTGAATGTGAAATTCTAGTTTATTTATTTGTTTTGTTTACATTATTTATTAGCTGCTCTTCAGCCAAAGCTGTCAGGGTAACTTATGAATAAAAACATTAACATTACTATTAAACAACAACAACAACACATTGCAGAAGACAGTTCAAATTGTCACTTCCTTGACATTTCCCTTGTTCTGCTTGTTTCAGACAAAAACACGCTGCCCAATCTTCTGCCACCCAGCAGTACATGTGGGCTCCCATTTGGCTCCTCTTTCCCTATCTGTGGTCTAAAGCACTGAGCCTCTTGGGCTTGCTGACCAGAAGGTCGGTGGTTTGAATCCCTGCGATGGGGTGAGCTCCCGTTGCTCTGTCCCAGCTTCTGCCAAACTAGCAGTTCGAAAGCATACTAGTGCAAGTAGATAAATGGGTATTGCTGTGGCGGGAAGGTAAACAGCATTTCCGTGTGCTCTGGCACTCATCACGGTGTCCCAGAAGTGGTTTAGTCATGCTGGCCACATGACCCGGAAAGCTGTCTGTGGACAAACGCTCACTCCCTCGGCCTAAAAGTGAGATGAGCGCCGCAACCCCACAGTCGCCTTTGACTGGACTGAACCATCCAGGGGTCCTTTACTTTTACCTTTAACCTTTTCTAGCCTAATCTCATTCTGGCTACATTTCTTATTATAGTCACCATGAAATAGCAACGCTCTGCCCACCTCTATCTTTATGTGCCTAAGCTACAGCTGATATTGATTGTATGCTTGTGCTTTCGCATCGTGCTGTTGATCTAGATTCATTGGTATAGATTTTTCCTTCAAAACACAATAGAGTGTATTATGGCACCTTAAATAAGCAGATTTATTGTGATATAAGATTTATAAACTACAGTCCATCAGAAACAACTTTTCTTTTTTGTTTCGGCTTTACGTACAGCCCTGCTTCATTGATCACTGTACATTTGTAGTCCACCTGTCAGTACGCCATGCCTTCTGTACATGTGAATGTATAGGAATCTGGTTCCTTTGATTAGTATATTATGCCACATATTGCTTTTTCTAACACAGGAGTTTTATACTGGTATCAGAAAAAGAGAGTGATCAAAACATGAGCAGCCATGCATGATTTTCCCTGGGTACAAAGCCCAGTCTATAGATGGAATGGTGCAGACACAGCCTTTTCACACTCAAGGCATTCTCCATAGGAGAAAAATTAGCACATGCAACAGCCCTCTGTATACTGGATCCATCTGATTTCCTTGTAAAAGTGGCGACACAAATTCTTACATTTCTTTGCAGATAAGAACGCAACTATTATATCATCCCCATGCAGCACAGTAAGGAGATCATCTTTCAATTATTCACCAACGATATTGCAATAATTAATTCATGGAACAACCCGTTTAATTAGCCAAGCAAATTTTCTGCTGTTCACAGCAAGACATTCTTCATGGGAAACCCCACAAGATGGCTTGAATTGTCTCCTGGTGTTAAGCTGATCCTACAAATGTGGCCTTTTTAGGGATAGCAATGTGCTAAGTTTATCATAAAATATATTAATAATTAACCCAGTTACTTCAATAACACAGCTAGAATATTCAGTGTATCCGCTGTAATATTTTGAATATGAAGTGATTGGAACAGAGTGGACTGAAAAGTAACTCCCAAGTATTTAAAATTATTAACTTGTTCTTTTACAGGTCTTTCCAGGAAACCTGCTATAAAACTATATATTCCTTTAACACCCCTGTTTGACAAGATCTCTTGCAAGTATTTAGAATTCAGATGATGTATTGCACTAATGTAAGGTGTGTAAGAAAACACTCAGTGCTGGATTTTCTTTAGGCAGGTTATTGGAAATGCACAAGCAGAATTAAGATGACAATACTATCTATCTCACAGGGTTATTGTAAGACTAAAATGGAGGGTTGAGAACCGGTGTCATCTCACCTTGAGCTCCTGGCAGGAAAGCTGGATTTATACATATAATAATAAGTTTTTAAAATAACAATTTTTAAAGCCTGTTGCAGCAAAGTCTTGAGGAAACTTAAAGGTGAACAAATACATCATAGCATTTTGCGGACCAGAGTCAATCAGATGCTAGGGTTAAATAAGCATTTTACCAGCAGGCTCCATTGGCTTTCTTGGAGGAGGATAGAAAGCCAATATGTGAAATTCTATTAATTACCTGAAACTTTATTACTACTAATTATATAATGGTAGTTAAAATAATAGGTAGTTAAAATTATAGGATGCACCAAAGCACCCATTTTTGACCTCTTCATTTCAGGGCATGAATTTAGTTGGTAGTGCTTACTACTTCCTTCCAAAGACATACTGGTGATCTAAAAGCAAATATTTATTATTGGGGGGGGGGCTTGAAAATCAATAAAGGCATTGCACAGTAAAACTGCTACCCTATTCAAACCTACTTGTAGGTAAGTCTCGTTGAATTCCATGGAACTTATTCCCATATAAGTGAATACAGGATTGCAATTTAAATCACTCGATCTGATAATGTATGTCTTTTAAAATAATGTTGAAAAGTATTTCTGGTTCAAGAGATGCCATGGTCTGAATATATACGTGTGTGTGTATGCGCACTCACACAGTGAGAATGAGAGAGAGAGAAAGAACAACAGTTTCTTAGTAATCCTATCAACATTGTGACAATGTTTACTTTGTTAACTGCTCCATCTAAATTGTTTTGGGGGACGTGCCAGGTTGTATAGCAGCCTTCCTCCAGAGTTGTCCTAAATAGAGAGGTTTTCCCATCTAAAGCCACCCACACATCCAACCAAGAAGACAGAACAGTTAATTGCCTCCATCAATAGTGTATAAAAGGAAGGGTCCCAACAAATGTGCCAGTAATTATTCTAATATTTTCTTCCACTTGATTGGGTGGGCATTTCAAGGTCACAGAGAACAATGGTGGTGGTGTCTTGAATGCAGAGGCAGGTATGGTGGTCCTGAGTCTTGGCCTAGTGGCTTTTTGTTTTGTTTTGTTTTTTTGCTCCAAGCCATCATGATAAGCCAAGGCTTGTTCTTGGCTTACCTATCATGGTTTCCTTGAGCAAAGCAAACAGTGACCACCAAGCTGAATATAACAATGAGCCAGGGATTGTGGTTTGCTACCTCTGGGTGCTAATGTGGAGGGGAAAACAGCCATGGTAAATTGTTAACTATTGTTTACTTTGACATGTGAACTGGGCCTGCAAGCATGGGGACTGAGACCATCTGACTTAAAATCCCAGTAAAGATGCAGGCTTAAGCCTTGTGGAGACTGCATCTAGGAAAGGCATCCATTTTTAGTGTCTTCTCTGCCAAAAGCCATCACAGAATTCTTCCAAATATTCATTAAAAATAAGTCTCTTGAAACCTGGAGTAGTTTTCTACAAGGATTTAGTGTGAAATTCCGTATTCTGCTGGTTGCATTCATAAGTTCAAACTTTAACATAGTGATTTTTACTGTTTTGTGAAAACATTTAATTGGCACTGATAGAGCTTTGTTACATAACATCCTTGAAAGTCTATGCATTATTGACAATGCCAAAGGCAATAAGATATTGAAACTAACCAGGTGGCATGGGGGCAGGATAACACTTCCTTCTTGTTTTAATTTTCAAACATATTAATCATCACAGCCTCACACTAGTGTTATGCCAATTTCAATTTTACAAAGCTTTACAGGTAGTTAAAAAAAGTGTTGTGCCATTCAGTCAATGTTACGAATAATAGGAAAATGCATGCTAAAAATGAGGTCAATTTAAAAAATACAGTCATTTAACAGATGACCAGCAATAGATTTTTATACTACAGTAGTCTTAACAGGTGGACAGTAATTTAACCAGAAACTCAACAGAAAAACTACTCAATAAAATGACAGTCTTCTTTTGATATTGTAATGCCCTGCAGATTAAAATCTTTTCCCTGACATAACTCTGTGCACCTTTGCTACACTTGCCACACTATTCCATGAGACGTTTTCAAAAGCTTAGAAATACAAATAATAAACCCAGTAAAAAACATTTATTATGATAAATGATAATGGGAAGGAAAGCCGGGCGTAATTGTCTATGTGGTATGGGTTTTTAACATGAAAGCAGTCAAATATACAGAAAAGTCTCTTCATCACTGCCATTGGTGAGTGACACCGGCTGTGTTTACTTTTCTCCTCTTTTCTGCCTCTAGAGGTTTTGGTGAGCTTGTCTGCATCAGCCTTGTTAATCTTATCAGCCTTGCAACTGTTGGCAATTGCTGACAGGACTCCATTGATCTCCTCTTCAGCCTCGTCATCCTCCTCCTGGTAAGAATCACAATTGGACAAAACCACTTGTTCATCAGTTCCATAACACACATCCTTTAAATATCAGCCAACAATCCATTTTATCTAAAGGCTACAGATATACCAGTGCCTGGAACAAAACTAGTTCAGTTTAATAAAGTTCACTGAATTCAAGCTCTGAACTACACCTGAAACTAGTGCCCATATTTGCCAGCTGAATGATTTGTTTTGGGGCAGAATGATTTCTAGGTCATCTTCAGATTCATTCTCTTACATATGTATTTTTTCCTTCTTCACACTTTAGATTCTTTGGGAGTTGAAGCTTAAAGATTATAATTGTGGGGGGGGGAAATGAAAACCATTCACATTTGTCAGATGCTGGTGGTGGTTGCTCGTGAGTAACCCGGCAGGACTCCAACCTGTCTTTTACAGGTTTTATTGTACAAACTATTTACAGCGCAGATCTACCAAGTTCATGTCCGTCTCAGTCACTTGCAGAAACTGGGAGTGGCCCCTTCCGGCTTCTCCCCCAACATAAGAACTTCAGCACCCCAGGACGGAAGTGGCCAGCCTGGCAAGGTGAGATGCTGGGGCTCTTAGCAGCATCCTCGAGTCCTCTCTTCGCTTGGCTGGCCCCTTCCCTCTCTTCCTCACTGGAGGTGTGGCTTTTCCCACCGCTGGAAGAGGAACTGCTCCTCAGGAGTTTCAGAGGCTCTCTGTATCCCAACGGCCCCCCTGTCTCCCTCCCCTGTTCCGATGGCAGTCCCCTGACAACATTCCACTGTGTGTGTTTAAATGTTTTCTTAGGCTTCTTAAGAGAAAACATTACACTTCAGCTCAGCAGGTTTTCTGGGCACAGTGGTGGAGTGGATAAGGACAAATAAGCTGGGTTTGAACCTTCCCCACAAGGACTTCTCCATACACATTGATGAAAAAGGCAAATCTACATGTGCTTTACCAAAAAAAAGGGGTGGTCTTTTCTTTGTATTTAACATGAAGGAAACAATTCGCATCCACAATGACCTTTGATGTTCTGGGAATCTCATCTTAGTCATGGCAACTAGGTTTTGGATCTGGCCAGATCTGCCCTCGGCTATTTAATTCTGCATTTTATTCACTAATCTTCTCAACATTAAAGTGGATCAGCTTCACTTGTGACTTTCCATTACGGCATAAACAATAATGTTTACATTGCTTAGACACTGGCGCCGTTACTTAGAAAATAAAAATACACAATGCTAAGGGAAGCAACCTCCTTATCACTCATTGTAAACGGAAATGGTACAGATGATCATCTATAAACTTTTATGGACGCATCTACCTGGGCTGTTTTTCTTTTTTAGAGTGCTTTTTTTCAGTTGGAGATATCTGGGGTTTTTTATGCTGAAATGATTTTTTTTTTAAAAAAAAATTGTATTAAGCAGCAGGTTTATTGCGCAGCGGGAAAGGATGCTAAACACACATTCTTTTTTCTTTTCCGGTTTTCTGAAACTTGTTTGCAGGTGGCTGATGCTTTATCAGATTGCTTTTAGCTCCTTTATGTTCCCTAAGAGGAAGCTAAACCATGTGTGAAATCCAGCATCTGGCATGGCAAGTTATCAGCTTAGTGTCTGTATGTTAGAATACGCTCTTCTCTAAGGAACCTTAACAAGACGCGTTTCTAGCACAAGTTTACTTATCCTATTGCCCTAGCGAAGAGAAGAAAGAGAATCTATAATAGAATGACAAATACCTATCTGCTATACAAAATCTAGAGTATCAGGGGACATTTAAAGGACTGCTGAGGGGCTCCAAAAGAGAGAGAGAAAGGGGGGAATTAAACTGTTTCACATTAGGAAAACCAACCTTGCATATCAAAAGGGAGCTCAACTTTGGAGCGTATTTTTAAATAGTAATGCTATTTACTCTGCTCTCCATTCCTGCTCCTAAGGAGAGAATAGCAAGCAGATGGCAATATAAAAGGATATAAAAATCAGTTGCAGGATCTATGGAAAGCAACTGCACAACAGCTGAAACCTACTGGAAATGGCATCTGCTGCTGCTTCTTGCTTCTATTAATGGATGTGTTTGTTCAAATCCAACAGTCCACAGGATAGAGAAAAGAGGTCGCTTTGGTGGGAAGTTATCCATTTTCATGGTTTTCTATATTGTACTGCCTACTAGAGAGCGCCACAACATTTATCAGGTATGGGAATGTGACTTGTCAGTAAGGGCTCTACACTTCTTACAAACATTTTCCCATTCTTCTTTTTGTCCCCTGTAAGATTTTGGACGGTGCAGGCCAATGGATTGCTAGCAGCTAGAATATATTTCACAGTTCAAGTCCTTGGAACATTTGAGGATACGTTTAGGACTGAATTCAGGTTTCTCTTTCTTTCCTTTCTACCTTCTTTCGCTCTGGATGACTGAAGCACAACATAAAGGCACGATGGCATTTCACATTGCACGGTGGCACATAGCAGTGCTAAAGTCCTTACTGGTAGCAGAACAGTGTATATTCAAACCTCTCAGGGCCCATTCAAACTTTACAGGGCAATCAACAATGTTACCTCTCAGTAAAGACCTGTAAGACCAGACGTGTGCCTGTAAACACACTTGTCTACCATGTCTGCTAGTTCGCATAGAAAAGCCCCACAAAGCCCCAAAGGATTCACCAGGAGACCTGGAGGTGCCATGTGGCAAACACAGAGGTTGCTGTCGCCAACACCTGATCTACCTGTGCAAAACAATGAACCACGGCAGTTCAGGAGGGGTGATGCCAGTTTTCATTGCACTGAGCTTCCTGCCAGTAAAAAGCAAAACAAAAACTAACAAACTGGGGAGAGATATTCTACCTGAGTCTAAGCCCTGCTGTGCTGGTTTTTCATCTACAAAACCTTTTTTTTACATCAAGAAACATTCAGAAATGTGATGTCCCACCACACTCTGTTCTACCATGTCATTCTGTTTCATGGTGGATCAAGACCATTGTGCTCCTGAACCACACAATAGTCACAATAAGACCATGATGGGGAATATATTTATTTCAGCATTTTTACACTGCTTTGGGGGCACAGAAAGGGCCTCAATGCAATAATGAGCAATAAATCAAAAATAAATCAAAAACACAAATTAATACCAGACATCAGCTATCATTAGCAGCAGCACATAAAAAGCTCTCTGATCAGGGGATGAGACAATATTAATAATAAAGACAATCTTTCAAGGTCTTTCTGAGCATTGAAAGGCAAATGGTCCTTTATACCCACCAACTGCTGATGGTTTACAGGGCAGAGCTTTCCATGGTGATCTCACCTAACATTCTTTTAAAAGTGCTGGGTCCAAGCCATATAGGATTTCAAAGTGATGGTCACCACTTTGAATTGAGACCGGAAAGAAATTGGGAACCAATCTGCAGTGAATAATAGCAGAAGCAAGGCAAAACCTGGTCATGCTACAGCAGGCGGGGAATGTATGTTGTAAAGAGCTGCTAAAAGTTGGAATCATGATATGCTTTCATAGCAGAGGAAGCAATGGATAGGATGGTTTGAAGAGAGGCTATGGAAATCAGTAAATGGGGGAATTAAAACAAAACAAATACCTTTGTGAGTTTCTTCATTCCAGATCGATTAAGGGTGCAGAAGTGAGCTACTGCATACTCCAGTAATGCGCCAAAGATAAAACTAAAGCAAATACCCAGGTAGACATCAATTGCCTTGATGAAGCAATTAGCATTCGGAAGTGATGTCCTGGCTCCCATCATAAGAGTTGTCATGGTGAGCACAGTTGTAACACCTACGGAAACAAAACGAGAAATCAGAGGTGATCTTGCATGATTAGCAGCAACACCATCTCCTGCTGCCTCTGAGCAGAAGCTGCTCAATATTTACTTGACAGTGAGGTCTTCTGTCATCTCATTTTAGCCCACCTCATTTGGAAGAAAATGCAGAAAATGTTTAACGTATGAATATTTTGAGGTGTTAATAATACTTTGGATAAAGTTTACGGTAAAGTTCTGCACCATGGTCAAAAAGGAGCAGAGTAAAAAGAAAAAGTAAAAAGTGAGGGTAAGAGATGTCTGAATTACTCTCTAAGTTAGTCTTGGAGAAACGATGTATAACATTGTGAATTAATTTTGGTGGCGAAAGGGAATACAAAGCCACCCAATGAGTTTCATGCCAAGTGGGGATTGAACCCTGCTCTCCGAAGTCCTAGTCTGACACTGACCACTATACCGCACTTCTTTTCACATGAGCCACCATAACATGTAGACAGGTTTGGTGAGCACATGTTTTTCCATGTAGAAAGCCCCAGGTTCAAGCCCTGAATTCTCTGGTTGAAGAATCTTTGATAGCAGGTGGCTGTAAAATCTCTCCCCACCACCCTCAGATCCTGGAGAGCCAATGTGAATTAAGAGTCGGTGCTCTTAGACAGACCTAACTCAGTCTATTTCCATATTTTATTGTTGCCACCTTTCCCACCAGTGCATGAGCCACATCTGATCGTTACCAGTTTGAAAGGGGGCTATGTACATAAGGACATGTAGGACTCCCTCCAAGGGGAAAGGAACCCTCCACTGCCCATGAGGTGACCTTCATACTGATGCAGATCATGTGTCACCTTGGGGACTTGGCCAGGTTGGTCAGTAGCTAGAGCATTGGTACCCAGTGGACAAGGCTAGCTCACTTGTACTGAATGCCGGAAGAGGGACACTGAAGTCCTGCATCCCCATGAAGTGAGCATTGCAGAATGCATAAGAGATACGTGCACCACAACAGCCCCACACAGGGAGTCTACTTCGGTGTAAAATCAGCCTGCAGTGAGGGAGGGAGGCTGTGCATGCAAGCTCTCCCTTCCCCCAACACTGTCCCCACAGCCCCCCATGAGTTGGGGTAATATCCCCCACATGTTATAGGCAGTGATTAGACAAAGAGGATTAGACAAATTCATGGAAGATAAGGCTGCATAGATGGTTGCTGATCCTGATGGCTATGGTTTACCTACGCCTACACAGTGGCAGTATGAGTTTGAGTGCCAGCTGAGGGAAACCACAGGAGGGGTGAGTGCTCTTAAGCTTGACTCCAGGTTGCAGGCTGTCCACAGGATGCTGAACTCAATGGACCACTGGTGGGTTCTTCTTGCGTTCTAATGATACAGACCCTTGCTTTTTCAGGTTTCTAAATAGCATGAGGAGCTTACACAAGAACAGCAGGCTCCTCTCTGCAGTGGTCCTTCTTCCAGCTCCTGGAGGGTGGTGGGAACAGTAGTGGTGGAGCCACTCTTCCACACATGTTACTTTTACCCAAGAATAAAACACCTAACAGAACCAATGTTTCCGCTGTTTCACTTGTTACACTTGCAGAATACTAGAAGTTCATTCTCGCACTGGCTGAGTAACATGAGGCTCCTTAGGCTCACTGCATCTGCCCTTCCCAGTTTCTAGGACTTGTCTGGTTAATGTACAGAGGAGCTGGAACATAGATCCCATGGTTCAAGGCTTACTGCATTACATAGGTGGTGGAGGAACAAAAATGCAGCAGCTTCCTCCATGTTAAAACACCATGACCTGGGCAGGGGGTGGGCAGTGCATCTGTGTTTTATGATTGTAGCTCACCTATGCAGATTCTGGCTGGCACTGAGGACTGGCTTATCCAGAATGACACCCAGGAGAGGACAACCAGCAAGCTGGATGGTACATATGTTTCAAGGATAAAATACAGAATGTTCCTCTTGAGCTCAAAATGGAAGACTAACTTTGGATAGTGCCCTGTGTAGTGAATAAAGAGAGACATGCAACAAGTCATTTAGATTTCTTGACAATTTCTTCTTCATGTACAAGTTTAAATAATATTTTAAAGCTTCAGATCAAATCTTTATTATTATGACCAGCATTAAGAAAACAAGGTAAGAAGCACACAGAACACATTATTTTAAAGCTTCACAGTTTTTTAAAGCACACAATTACCAACTTGCTAGTTCACCCGTCATACTTATATCTAATTTCTATTCAGTGTTTGTCAGGTGTTGGTGTGGTTGCTCGAGAGCAAACAGGCAAGACACTGACCTGTCTTTTCCAGCTTTATTATTAGTGCAAAATATTTACAGTGAAGAGTGTCGCAAGTTCATTTCTGGCTCAGTTGCTAGCAGAATCTGGGAGTAGCCTCCCCAGCATAACAGCCATGTGACCCCCATCTTTCTCCTCCCCTCTCTGCACCGAAACCTACTGCACAGAGTGGGTGCTGGCAAAGGGGTACTTCCCTCCCCTCCGCTTTGCTCAGGCTCCATATTGAGGCTCTCCCTAGCATCTCCTGGTCCCTGCACCTCCTCCCCACTGGAGACGGGGCTTTCCTCCTCGCCAGAGGAGGAACTGCTTCACAAGATCTTCAGAGGTTCCCTATAACACAACTTCCCTTCAGCTCTGAGCTGATGGCAGTTCCTTGACAGTGCTTGCCCATCACTCTAAGCCAAACCATGGCTTAGTGCATATGTGTGAATCTGCTGGCCTCTAAAGAGGAGGCAGAATTCACTTTGCTTCTCCCCATGCTTTTCAGGTGAGTGAAACATGGCAGCTAACCCAAAGTTTGGCTTAACGTGTCTTCCAAACCTGAGATGATCTCCTCCTTAACCACAACTTGGCTAAGCTGCCAGGAGCGCCGCGGCGATCCACCCAGGGTGTCAGGGCGGCTCCTACCTCTCCTCACAAACAATCCTCTCCAGAGACTTCTAGCGTTTTAATGGTCTTTATTTACAATATTTACAATGGTCATCGAGAGTTCATTATCATTCATCAGAGTCACTCAGTTCAGATACCAGGAGAGACCTCTTCTTACACCGCCAACACCTCACAAAATGCAGGAATTTATCGCCCCGCCTTTCAAGTCTCCTCTTGTCCACAGGCCTGGTAAATCTCTTGCCAGTCTCTCATCCAGAACTTAACCCTTGCTGTCCCTGTGGAGCTGTTGGCTCGCTTGCAGCCTCTCCCAGCTCCCTCCCCCTCAGGCACAGCGTCCTCTTCTTCTACCCTGAAGTCCTCTCCCACATCCGGGGAACTCAAATGTACTGGCTCAGCCCTTACATGGGGACGCTGCAGCGAGCTGCCCACTGAGTCCGCCTGGCAGACGCAAGCCCCACGCTGCCATTTTGGGCAGCGTGGGGCCCGAGCCACTGCATCACTCCCAGGAGAGATGTGTGGCTCGGGCGCGCTGTAGGCCAGGCCTACAGTAAGTGCCGCCCCCTGCGGTGTACCATTTTGTCAACTCCTCAGGGATGACACCCGGAGCAGGCCACACCCCCTTTCCTATGCCCCTGTAAACTGCCCAAAAGCCTGGAGATACAGCAAAGCAGGTACAAGTTGCTCCTCTGGGGCCTATGTCTGCTCAAGGAAGAACCACCACCCTGCAAATTTCATCTGATTGTAAAAAATAAATGTGAAATGTGAAATAAGATTTGCCTACTGAAATCAATGGGAAATGATTTAAAATAAATAAATAAAACCTTCCCCCTCTCTCCCCCATTCCAATCAGACACACAGTGAAGAAAATGGCTGAAAAAAGCCATGGAAATTAATCAAGCCACCAAAGGAAACAATGAAATGAATTGTTATTATTTGCACATCCATATATATATATATATATATATATATATATATATATATATATATCATAGCTATACTTCATTTATTGTTAGAAAATATAATCCTATATAAATGAGAACAATGGCCTGCACTTTGCTTTTCTTTGCGTTGTTTACACATTCTCTCCCCGAAACATTCAGAAGTGAACATGTATTTTATTTTCTGATGAGCGAACAGGTTCGGCTTTCTCTCTGGGCAGAGCAGCAATATGGAATAATTAGCCTTCTTTGAGCACGATGGCTAGCCAGCAGCAGAAGCAGTGAGGAAAGCAAGCAGATGCCACTTATGTAAGAAGCAAGATACTGTCTGAACATGAAGTCTGCTAGTGGAGATCTGTATTTTTATACCTATTTATAGGCATTTGCTGTTTTAATGTGAGTTAGGACTTCGAGTCATGATGTTTCCTTAGTCAATGATGCTCTCAAATAAAAATCTTTAGTGGAAGGCAAAAGATTTATCCGATCTGAGTAGAAACCAGAATATAAAATAAAAATGGCACAATGCACGTTGATTGAAACTTAAATGCAAAAGCATATTATTGAGTTGTGAATCACAAATGTAATAGCTGGGATGGTATGTAAAAAAAGCTCTATCTTCTGTGTGCAGCAAATGTGTGCAGCATCCAGAAGGAAAATAATAATAATAATTCAGTGCATCGGATTGTTCTTATCACACTGAGGCATGCAATCGGGGGGTGGGGGGTGGACCTGACAGCCTTCAGCTGTGAGAACCAGGATTTGCAGAAGATGCAGCTCAGAGAACCTATTAATGGTTCCATCATCTAAGAGTGTAGCGGCCCCTGCAGGGAGAATATTCTTGGTGGTGGCCCCCAGAGGATAGAATCAGCTGCCTGCCGAATCTCATCAATTTCAGCATTTAAATGAGCTTTAAAGACATGTTTATTTAGTCGAGCTTCTATTGTTTAATGTGCTTAATTTATTTCAATTAGTTTTACTGGTTGTTCTAATAGATTTGGGGTTTTTTTGTTTTTTGGGAGGGTATTCTTCTTGGTTTGAAAGTTTTGTACAGATGTTCTCTGCTAACAGAGACTGTAATCCTGTATACATTTACTTGGGAGTAAGCCCCCTTGAACTCAGCAGGACATCTGAGTAGGCATGCATAGGAATCAGAAGACTTGATATACAATAAAGGTTTTTAGTCAAGCAGTCAAGGTCCAGCAGCACAGCCAAGTTTTTTAAATTCATCATCATCATCATCCTAAATTTCTTTAATAAACTCAAGGTGGCATATAAAGGATTCCCATCCAGTCTACCATCCAGACACTGGCCAGATCCAAACCTGCTTAGTTTCAGCAGCAACATCTCACTATTTCATGTATTTTACTATTATATTTTTATTCTGTTTTAATGCTGTGACATCTGTTAATTGTTGTGTTTTATATGCTGTTGGCCATTCTGGGTTCTTCTTTTTTTTTTTTAAGGTATAGAATATGAGAAAGTAAGCATCATCATCTGCCTTCAGACCATTCCCAGCTAGCTTTATTGAAGTGAACTGGAAAGACAGAAAGGTCAAGAAGTAAGTAGGATTTTATGACTGTAAATGAACTCTTGAAGAGTTACCTACCTGTTTCATAGACAGCTTCAGAACTAGAGGTATAGTGGTCTTCTACTGTGTACTGCGCCAATCGAAGGGTTTCTAAGCCTTTAACGGAATCATTTCCCCTTGTCCAGTAAAACATGACATCATTTATGTTATAACCCCCTGGGAATAGAAGAAGAGAGGAATTTTACTAAATATAGAAAATGTGTTTGTGTCCATATATGTATATGTCTTCTATTTTCTGGCAAAGCTTCTGTTAATTTCACTTCATTTACTGGTTTCCCAGAGAATCCTAGACTTTAGGATTTTAGTAAATGCCTAGGAAATACACAACAGGAAAACAAAAATCAAGAAATAGACCTCAGCCTCTAAATATTCCATGCTCCACACAGCTGCACAACAAATTGTTTCCATTTTTAAATCCAAAATTCATCTTCACAGCTTAAACTCCCCATCCCTCACCTTAAATGGAGATGTTTCATTTAAAGACCATCTGAAAGAGCTTGTGTGGCTATCTGTCTAAATTCGCGTGTGAATGCAACATTCACTTAGTAATAATATAACCAAACTTAAAATGCACAGATCCAGAGGTCAGTTTACACTCCTTTTTAATACATGTAAAATCATACAGCCTGGCACTCTACACGGTAAGAAAGGGTAGATCTAAAAATCCCCCTCCCATATGAATCGGCCAGAATGCTAGTGTCTCTTCACCAGCAAAACAGCTACACCGGGGGGGGGGGTGTTCTGCTGGTGTTATCAGTGTATGTTTTATTCTGGAGGCATGTCTTGAGTTCTGGGGGCAAATCATGACTTCTGTCAAATCCTGAATATAGGATTGTTCTGCTAGTAACTTTGTGAAGTGAAGAAAGGTAGGCTCCTGCGCTGGCAATGCAAACACTATGTTGTGAGAGAAGGGCTGGGCAAGTATGTCCATTTTGGTTACTCTTAGTTTCTCACTTTCCCAATCTTAAATTTGGTTCTCCACATTTCCACATCAGAGTACAACTTTTTAGAAAATATATATCTATATATCCTGATGAAAATTCATCAGCATTTTAGTGGGAATTCCTCATATACACATTTTTGCAAAGTGTTTCCCCCTCCCCCAAATAGAATGTGGTTTTGTATGTTATTTTCACTAATACATGCATTTATACTCACACATTACCCTAGTATATGTAGATTTGAACACATTACTTGGCTTGAAAACTGCATTGCAAAATTTGGAGAGGCACAACTTTCAAAAGATAGCTCTGTTTCAGTTTTGTATTGTTTCAGAAAGTGTGACTCATGTAAGTTCACCTGTAAACGTGAACTAAACGGAATTTCTTCCCCCATCGTGATGTGAGAGTTGATCCTGTAAACCTCACAGTGAAATACTTCCCTCTGAAAGCTATGCATTTGGGCAACTGCAAAGGAGGTCATATTGTTATATTGGCCTATGAGAATACTGCCCAGTCTTCACACATTTCCCCGCAGTGTATATACAAATGGTTGCTGCAGCAAATGTTAGTTATGAACATGAATATCAATACTGCTCCTTGGTGTCCTGCGATGTATACTGAGGTCTGCAGCACAATGACATTTACGCTGATGTGCGAAACAGCTTGAAGTGTCACATCAAACAGATTATAAAATGTTTCAGTTTCAGCCCGCCCGCCCGCCCAACTGTGCAAATAGCCAAAGCATTTCTCAGAAGCCCCGGAAGACTAAAGAGAGCGCTACTCATCCATTTGGCTTCAGTAAGCCCCCTCTGCATTCTAAAGAGCAAGGGCGAGCTGAATAATGAGGGGATTTACAGGATATTCTGCTGCGAAAATAAATACTGATTTGTAATTTTATTAATTCCCTTTGTGGCTGCAAAGGCAGTTTTAGGCACGCAGGCAAAGTGAAGTTCCTTCTTTTCAGAACTCTCCTTGGAAAAGGCAGGAGACAGGTGTCAGGCTACTAGAATCCAAAGAATTGGCTAGTTAGTGCAAATCAGTACATGGGATAGCCAAACCTCATTTCCCGGCCCCGGCCCTTCCATCTTTTCAGGGTTCAGCCTCAGTATATTCACCCCATCCAGTCAATCACTGCTGCCAGACTCCAACGCCTCCACAGCCTCTCCTGATTCCAATGGAATGTAGAGGTAGAGCTGTGTGCCATTAGCTTACTGATGACCCTGCGCTCCAAATTAAGCCCCTGTTCCATGGCTCCCTCTCTCAATATCTCCTCCTTGCCTCATTATCCTATTTCCTCTGCCCATTTTAAATAAATGAGTTATTAGAGCAGACTTAGGAATAGCATTCCATTCCTTCACAAAGTTTCCAGAATTTAAGTGGCTATCTGGCCAGGCAAACTTCTAAAATATTTTTATATTTATATCACCCCTTCTTTCAGCTTCCCATTTCTCTGCCATTTCCCTGTGCCATAGTATTTTTAAGCTTCTGTTTTAATTGTTGTATCCCACCCAGGGACCTTAGGGTGAAGGGTGGGGAAATCATCACCATCATCTCTTGCCCCTAGGATTGTTGTTGGCATCCGTCTGTGTCAGGAGACAATGAAGGAGTGTGCCTTTGTCAGTGAAGTCAAACTGTTGGAAGGTTACAGCACCTGCTGTGGCTGCAGAGACCAATACAGGAGAGACATGTTTTGTTACAGGGGCAGATGAAGGCATCTGGTTGTCCTGCTGCAGATGCAACACGGCATTTCTCCTCTCTGCAGTCCTCCCAGTGGCCATTCCTCGTCTGGTCACTGCTATGGATGCATGACCTGACTGTCTCCAGGCACTGCAGTCGTCTACAAGGGAATTCCACATGGTGGGGTTGATGTTGCCAACCTTCATGTCATGTTTGCAGACATCTTTGTAATGCAGAGTTGGTCTGCCAACAGGCCTGGTACTTGAAGCCAGCTCCCCATCCTTGAAGAGGATCCTGCCATCTTCCATTCTGTAGACATGATCAAGCCAGTGTAGACGATGCTGAACCTCTTCCATGTTGATCTGTCCCCTGGCTACTTCTGTCCTTTCTACCTGTTAATCCTTGCTAAACCAACCGTTTCCTCGTCCTTCACAGAAGCTACACTGAAGATATTCTGACAACTCTGATCTCTGAGAAGCCGGCATGTCCATGCACATTCTGTGCCTTAAACCCAGTTCAGATAATTAGCTGGAAGCTTTCCTTCCAGCTAAGGTTGTGTCTGCATGGGAATCTCCTGCTTTATAATGTGTATGGCCTTTAAGTTCTAGAATGTCATGAACTGGCAGGATGGCAGTGAGGAGGAAGAGGATCCTGGCGAGGGGGGTAGCCGGGACTAGGACAGCAGGACAAGCTGGGAATTGGGAAGGCAGTACTCACAGGGCGACAGATGGTGAGGGGATATAGGACAGTACACAGTAACCAGAGCGGCAGGACCCATCCTCAGAGCCAGAGGGCCCCCTGTCCCCATGAACACGGTGGCCTCTGAGGCATAGTGAACAGCAGGAGTCTAGGAGGCTGAGGCAGGCAAGGGCCCATAGCCCAGCTCCCTAGCTGGCCAGGTGGGGCTTGTTGGCTCTGGAAGGAGGGATGTGATTTCTCAGCTGGAGTAGGCTTGGAGCAGGTGAGGGTAACCTGCCTCATCAAGCCCAGATGCTTCAATCAGCCTGCAAAGTATGAAAAGGAAGCAGAGCTGAGGTGCTGTGTCTGCTCAACTGCCCTTATTGATGGACTTTGTCTTGGATGCTCCTGGGCCTCTGCAGGACTATGCTTTGAATTTGACTCTGGGCGGTCTCCTGAGTGGGGGACTTCAGGCTTCCCTACTTGGATTGACCCTGGACTGCGTTTCCTGGCCTTTGGATTGCGGACTTTGGGCTTTGCTTGTATGGTTGACCCCTGGGCTTTGGACTTCGGACTGGACATACTGACTTGTGGACAGGTAGGCCCAGGGGTTCAGGACATAGAAGGAAGGAGTGTTTTGGACCAGAACATACTCAGTGATTTTTGTTGCTGCTGTTAGGAGGCTTCCTAGTTTCTTTCTCTTCACACCGGTGGAATTTCAGACCCATCTTTTTTTTAATACCTTAAAAGCCTGCTTCAGGTTAACTAAATATTTAGAAATGAAAAGGGGTGTGAGAATATTTTTCTGCACCTGTTTGTGTGGGCACACTGTCAAGTGTGTATTTTATTTATGCACACACACACTGGTGGCTTTCCCTTCCATGTTCTGTTCTATCACTACCGCCTTTCCTGCTGCTTAAGGAAGAAAGAGAACTCACGCTCTCTACAAATCCAGTGTGAAAGGTATGGAGAGAATGATGCCATCTGGACACTGATTGCAATGATACCTATTCCATTACTGCTAGTATCTAAAGAAGATGAATGGTATGCTATTGAGGCTTTTGCAGGGATAATTATAATTTGTGTTTGTTGCAAATCTGTTACACCTGCAACAGATCTTGTAATCAAGAGTGTTATAGTTATTGATAGTATAAATGTGCATATTTTTAAAAAAATTGTCCCTGAGGATGCCTCAGTAATTGTCTCTATAGCTTAGATCCTGGAAGGAAGGAAGAGAAGGTTACACCTGCAATACAGGTGCAATCAACATGGCAAGGGAAGAATTAAGAGGGTGCATTTAATCCTTCCCAAAACAGGCCACGCAACTGTTCCTCTCAACTAGGTTCAGTCCTTATGCGCATATTGCGGCAATATGAAATTGTGTGAAATTTCCCTAGAGGTTATTCTACTTTATTGCTGCCATTCTAGGAACCGGCTGTCATAACGGCCATTACTGCAATCAAGTCTGCAGTCCTAAGGCTGCTTGCTAAATCCTGCACTCAGCGGCTACAAATGTTGCCATTACTCTTTTCCAAAAGCCTGTTATAATCTGCTTCTAATTGAGAGTCCTTTGGCGATATTACTTGTTTTCCTCCAGACGTACACATTATTTCCAGTTAACAAGGGTTTGTTTGCTTTTTTTTTGGTGCTAGAAACCTTTGCGTTTTCATATTGACTGTTTTGACAAGGGCACACTGATATTTGCAGCTTATTTTGAGAAGACAGCACTATTTATCCAACAACTGTTCAAACTGAACCAGGAAGGGTGGAAGTGCCACACAGATATGGACTGGATCATTATAGATTGCTCAGTCATTTCTGATCTTGATTCTCCTACCCTAGAAAGGGAGCAACAAATGTCATGTGATCCATTTTTATTGCATTGCTATGTTTTTCCTTCATTCATTCCAGAGACACCTGTGTGCTTGTTGAATGGCAGATGGTATCATTCAGAAACCCTTTGTTTTCAGGTGCATAAGGATTTATTTATCTATTTTGCTTCCCGGGGGGAAATGCATAAATACAAGGCTTTGTTGATTTGTATCTCTTTAAAGTCATAATTGTAACTCTTTCCACAATTTCTTTTTTTTTTACTGTTTATTACTACAGTTCTCACCTGGGGTGGGATTTTTATTTATGCTACTAATTTCAGTTTATTGTTCTCTATATTTTAAATTCTTTTATGGAGTTCTCCACCCCCTTCCTGTAAACCACCTTGAGGGGGGTTGTCGTTGTTTCGCCTTGTAAAGCTGTATAAAAATACTTTTTTAATTGGGGGGGGGGGATGTGTATGTAAATACATAGTACATCACTTAATAGTAAAAAAAAAAAATAGCAAACATTGCAAACTGAAAATGGTGCAATCCATCAAACACTGTTTCTATGCAAGCCTCACTGAATAACAAAATCAATCCAAAGTTTAGGAAGCCAGCATAATTTACATTGAGATAAATTATGCTAGTGTAATTTACCCCTGTTCCAAACTCCACTCAGGAGCAGGGTTAATGCTGGCTGAGCCAGCCCGAGTGCGGGGGGGGGGGGGGCATTTGTTTTGACTTGTTTTTAATACTGCGTTTTAATGCTGTAACCTGTCCTAGGACCTTAGGATGAGGAGCAGCAAATAAATAGTGTTTGGCTTGCAGCACTCTTTTGGCTATTATAAATTCTGCTGAGTTACTAGGTCACATGACCGAGCTAAACAAAGTTTGGAATAAGTTTCCCTCTGACCCACGCCTGCAATGCCCTTGCCACTCCCCTGGCACACACTTTTTTTGAGACTTGCTCCCACCATGACTCAACTTAGAATTTAAAAAAGCCTTTAAAAAGGTTTTTCTCTTTCAGTATTGTGACTAAGGATTCCAATTCATCACGAAATAAGTTAGAGAAATTTAGAATATATGGGATCCTGATTCAGAGTGAATATTTGGCCTGGGTCATCTTTGAGAAGTAGCTTACGATGATGTGGTCTAGTCATAACTGAGCATGCAACCTACACAACAGAAACGGTATTTTATCCACCTCTCTAACATTGGAAGCATTTTTTATTCTGGACATTTATTTTATCCCCCACTAGGCTATGTTTATCAAACTAGGCAATACCACAGCTTTTTATTTTAAGGGGGAACATCAGGATCATTTTATTTCCCCTATAAACTTCATGTTCCCTGGAGGCATCTAATGTTCGTTTGGAGGTTCTAACAGCTATAATAGGGCCAATTCTGTTAGAATGAAGTCAACTAATATTTGCTCAGTTTTAGAAAATGAATGTGTGGCCCACTTTGTGAATAATTGTGCAATTGAGTTTTGCTTGCATGAATGGTGTCAGAAGTTAAGACTAAGCCGGCACATTCAGATGCTTTCAGACAGAAGACATGGAAAACATAGATTGCTGGACAAGACTAGGGCACATCTTTATAGAAGAAGAGAAATGTAGCTTGAAGCACAGACATTTTAAATGGTCAGAAGTCTTGAACTGAGACTATTTGGAGAGTGTGGCTATAATCCTGCACAGATTTATTAATGGGATTTAGGCAGCCTGGCTGTGCAGAGAGTGGCAGTCAAGAACTGCATTTGTAATAACTTTGCCTGACTGTAAAGGCTGAAATGTGAGCACTGCCCTTGCCAATCACAGACCCTCCAAGTGTCTGTTTTCCAGGGACAGTCCTAGATTTACAGAAGCTGGCGCAGTTCCTGATTTCATCCCAGGATGTGCTGCTTTTCCTTAGAACATCCCTATTTTCAACGAAGAAATGTTGGAGGATATAGTTATATGACCTCCCTGAACCACCCGAGTGGCTTGGGCAACCCAGTCAGATGGGTGGGGTATAAATGTTGTTTGTTTGTTGCTATGGAATAGGAGAAATGTTGGAGGGTATGCAGTCAGATACACAAATCTACCTTATGTGTATGAAAATATGCCAAAGAATTCTGTATGAAACCGAGCAAGGAATTGCTCTTCTGATTTAAATATTTATTCAATCTTATTTGTCTACAACATTTCTTGAGACATTCTAAGGCCTGGTTGAGGCGTTATATCATGGCTCCCAACTGTCTGTGCTTTGTTAGAACAAGAGCAAGCAGTGAGCTCAAACACTCCCTCCTACTCTCTTATGCAATGACTTAAAGTTTCTGTTAAGTTGTGGGTGAACATATCAGACGACCCAGCGATTCTTCAAACAGCTCTTGTTTATTCACAGGCCAGAACAGAACTGAACTGAAGGGTTCAGTCAGCCTGCTTATATAGAGCTCCAGTACAAAGTAACTGTAACAATTTTCTAAAACTATCCAATCACTGAACGTCACTTTCGATCCCTTATTTGCATAACTATCTACAGTATCCCCCTGCTGGCCCAGGGTGAGAACTTCAGTACATAACAGTTTCCCATAGAATCTAAACCAGAAACTTGTGGTTTAAGAGTGCCTAGAAGCCAAACTATGGTTTGAATGTATAGTTTGGAAACCAGGACTGTAGGCAGTGCTTAAACCATAGTGTCCCTGTTTTGGTATCATAGAAAACTGATCTAACAAACTGGGAAGCCTTTTCTCAAGCTGGCCAGATGACAGAACAGGAGGGCTGAAGAGCACTTCAGTGGCTTTGCTTGCATGCCCTATGAAACCCTAAGGTGACTGAGCAGTGTGCTTCTGCATACTGCCCCAAAGCTCCCATTGTGTCGCTTCTGGGTGTTGCTGCAAGCCAGGGTCTGGCTTGTCATGTGCTCCAAACCTGAGCTCATGGTTTGGTTTGGTTTGGTTTGGTTTGGTTTGGTTTGCTTCGCTTCACACAAACCCACAAGCAGTAGCTAATATTTGTCCTTACCTTGCTGCTCATGTTTTTTTAGGGAGGAGGAAACAAAGCATGAGCCTGGGTTCAGAAGTCACAAGAAGCCAAAGTCTGGCTTATTTTGGCTGCAGGATAGTAGTATCAGAAATTTTTGCCACATAAATTTTTGAGCACTGTGCATCAGTACATTAGACCATTGTTAGTCCTGTCCCCATGCAAAACTGGTATGGGCCAGGTACTGATGAGTCTATCCAACCCTATCTCAGCCTCGTTAAAAACCATAAAACATTAGTACTAGTGAGGTACAGTAGTTTTCATTTGAAATGTGTGGAATTATCAAGACACCCAGCAATGGGAGAGAAACAAGTACATTTCCTATGTACGCACAAATTCTCAGGCCCAATGCATGTTTTATTACTGTGCAGCTGAGCAACCTCTTCTGTGTGGTCAGAGGTCCAGCTGAAGTTTGCTAGAGGCAATCATGCCGGTTGCTTAGATCTCACCGGATACTTTCCCCATCTGCTCCTGTGGAGGCTTTGCACTGACATGGAAATATTTCAGTGGGTGGGAGCCCTACATGGCTGCCACTCATTAAGAGAAGAGAAGAGCCCTGCTGGAGCAGTCCAAAGGCTTGTCTAGTCCAGCATTCTGCTCTTACATTGGCCAATGAAAGCCCACCAGCAGGACCTGAGCACAGGAGATCTCTCCCACTGTTTCTCTCTGGCAACTGGTACTCAGACGCATATTTTTGAATGCTGAGCCTCAGCTGCAGAGGTTTTAACTTCTAAATCCTGTTGCCTCTTCAGCGTCGGACATCACCTCCTCCCAGTCTGCTCCCTCTTCTCCCTCTGTGTCGTTCCACCACTAATCCCCTGGCTCTGAGACATCTTTCCCCTAGGGGTTCCCCATCTGCTGCTTTCCACCACGCCTCAGCATCCAGCTAGCCCACGACACCGTCCTATTGAATTCAATGGTGCTTTCTCTCAGGTAAGTGGGTTTAGGATTGCAGCCTAGCACTACCTGGGAGCTTCTTTTGTAGCACCCTCTCTCCAGTGTCCCTGCAAATGGGCTCCCTTCCCTGCCCCCTGCCCCTCTCTTTGTTAGAGGTAATAAAATCACTTACAGCTTTCCAGTTGCAAGGTGCACGTCTGTTTGTCCATAGGGTATTTAGTCAAATCCATACTACAGGCAACTGTTGTAGTTATCCTTTAAAAGCAAAGTACAGATGGTTACCATCCATGCATCATACTGAGCACTGAAAATAGAAACAAATTATCCTACTTATTTGAGCTTTTTTAAAAAAGGCAAAACATATGGCTAGGGGGGAAAGATCGCCTGATGTTTTTTGTCAAAAGACAGCTAGGGAATAAAGATGCGAAATTATTAACTCCTTTACACCCCACTTCATTCTGAATCTTAGCAAAAATGAGACGGTGGAAAACAAAAATGGTTAAAAACAAATGCAGTGCTTGAAGGTAAGAAAACGGCAGTATTGTAAGTTAAAAGGCGTAAGCAGCAGCCTAAAAAATGGAAGAAAAATGGACTTCCGGGGAGGTGCCTCCGGTAATGGCGGAATTCCTCTGATCGGGAGGAATCTGCTCCGTGGGAATCTGGATCTGGCCGCCACTGCGAAGGCGGAGACCCGTTAAAATCACAGGCGGGAGAAGCCTGTGAGCGTGGGATTTGGCAGGCACCTTTTGCACCTCCCCCACTCGCAGGGAACCCCGGTTTTTGGGGCTCCGGAGCGACGTGGGGTGAGCGGCGCGGTGCATCGAATCGTCTGCTTCTTCAACGGAGCGAAGCCGCATAGCTGTTGCCGGAGAGCGCTGACCTTTTCCTGTGGACAATTTGACTTTAAAGTAATTACCCGTGAGTAGAGCTGAAGCGGAAGAATTGGATTTCTAAATGTTTAATTTGATACTGTAACGGGGAGGTCCAAAACAGGAAGTCCGCCTTCCCCTTTTGTAAATAGACTGAGGCAATGAAGTTGCAAGCTGGAGTCCTGGAAAGCCTTTTGTAAAAGATTAAATTTCCAGCGGTAAAGAACATTAAACCCCCTCTTGGAGGCAGGAGAAGAGAGGGGGAAGTTGCGGATTGAGTATGCCTGCAGGAGAGAGCGAAGAGATTTAAAACACCGCCGCTCTGACCCTGGAAACGGGCTGCTAGCAGGACTGACGTCTTTTGGAATGTTCATTGACAGCGTTTAGAATGTTCATTGACAGCTAGTTAAACGAGAAATACATTGTTTCTACTGTCTCCGGCTGCTTTATAAAGGTGTAAAAGTAACTGAAAATTGAAACTAATTTTGGATTGTTTAAAAGAGGATACTATTGACTATTACAAATAGAAACTGTTTTCCCCTAGTGGAAGCCTTTGAAACCGGTTGCTTTACAAGAGCTGGGCTAGGGGAATTTCCAGCTGCAAGTTAAAAACCGTGAGACTCTGGAACTGACCTTGAATCTTTTAAGTGTTATGGTAAATGGAAGAGGAAAAACAGACCAGTCAACTGCTGACAAAACATTAAGGTCTGGGAGGACTTGGCAATAATCCAGGAGAGGTCCATCATTAGCCCCCCCTGCTTCTTCTGTTGCTGCCTTTGTACCAGTATATTTAAAACCAAGAGGAATGTCGACAGAAGAGGCTTTAGTGGCTGCATTATATAAGATAAATGACTCACTGGATCAGCTTAACAGGAAAATGGACACGATAAATGCGAAAGTGGATGTTTCAATTACTAAAATTAACTTAAATACAGAAAGTATAAATAACACCAATACAGAAACCACCCAGAAATTGACACAGGAACCTACTTTGATACGGCAAACTGCGGAGGAAGCCAGGGAAAAAGCTGTTGTTGCTGAATGTAAAGTAACACAACTGGAGAGAAAGAGAAAGAGAGCCCCAGCCCTACAGAGGCAATTTGATGAACATAAGTTGACGCTTGCTATGACTGAACTTAAAGAAAAACAGACGAATTTGAGGATTAGAGTTCACCTTTGGTGGACATGCCCAAGGATTAAGACACTTTGGGAGATGATTCATAACGAAATGAAAAAGGTATTTAAATATACCCTTTTGAAGAAACCAGAGGCCTTTCTCCTGGGCGTGGTCAGCCAATTGGTATTAAAGAAGGATAGAACTTTTTTCACATATGCAACAATAGCAGCAAGAATACTTATTGTGAAGTACTGGAAGACACAAGATTTATCTATTCGGGAAGAATGGCAGATGAAGTTGATGGACTATATGGAATTGGCGGAAACGACTGGCAGAAATCCGAGACCAGGGAGAAGAGTCGGTGGAAGAAGACTGGAAAAAGTTTAAGACTATTTATAGAAATATTGTAAAAATAATGAATGTTAGAAAAATGTTGGAATGAAGTTATATGGCTTCAGTAGAAATGTTATAAGGAATCAAGTATAAATAGATTAATAGTGTATTAAAGGGAAAAATAAGGTTAGAATATGTTAAGATAATTATAGGATAGAAAACAGAGGAAGATGGAAAGGAATTGCTGAAACAATGAACAGAAGTGGAATACAAAAAGGGAAGTGTGAGGAGGTCGTGGAAATAAGGGAATGAAAGATAAGATATTGAAATTGTTTTGTGTTTTAAATGGTTTGTGTCTTTTTTTTTAGTCTTATGTTGTTGTTTTTTTCTTTTTTTTTCTTTTTCTGTTTTGTTGTGTTTAAACGGTTGGAAAATTAATAAATATTTTTTTTTAAATGGAAGAATTATTTAGCATCAAAGGTCTGTAGTAGTAGTAAATAATAATAATAATAAATAATGCATGCTGCCTGGGTTACCCCAGGGACTCTGGGAGGCTTCACCCAGAATAAAAGTGTATTCAACTCACATCTGGAGGAAGCCTGATAGATCTTCACTGGGAGGGCATTTCACAATGATGGCACTACTGCTGAAGACCCTGTCTCTTGGGCCCACCTCACAATGGTTTGAGTGCTGGACTCTGACCTGGGAGACCAGGGTTCAAATCATTGGGTGACCTTGGGTCCGTCACTCCTTCTCAGTCTAACCTGCCTCACAAGGTTGCTGTGGGGATTGAATGGGGAGGAGGAGAACCATGTCCACCACCTTGAGCTCCTTGAAAGTGAAAGGCGGTATATAAATGGAATAAATAAAATAGAAACGATGCAAAATTACAGTACAGTCACCATCATCTCCCTTTGTCTCAGCACCCTACTGCAGCTTCTCCCAACTTGGTGCTCACCAAAAGTTTTAGATTACAGCCTCAGGAGACCCAGCAAGTGTGGAGAATGCCCTGGAATGATGAGAACTGTAGTTTAAAACATCAGGAGGGCACCAGGTTGGGAAAGGCTGATATACTGTAACTCCTTGTGTTTGCGCAATTGAAACAACAGCATAATTTCCTGTTTATCCCTGGCTTCATTTCCCTTTCTATGTTGCTTTGCTTTTTGTCTATAGTAAATGTATTTTTAAATTAGTTGAATTGGGATTTACTAGATAGATAGATATAGATAGATAGATAAAGATTAAGCGCTTCAGTTGGAATTGCTACTCTTCCCTTTTTAGATCCTGAAAAAGGTTACCCCAATTGTACAGAAACAAATTTTGAAAATAGTTGATAATATTTCAATTCATCTGCTCTGGCCATCAAAGTGAGAAGGATGGCAAGGCAACACAGTCCTCACTATGAACTGCCTTCATGACATTATCAGCTAGTCAGATCTTACTGGCCATGTGACATTGTCAATCATCATCACACTGGCTATGTAATCCCATATTGTTGGCTTCACATATGCAGCATGAAGCAGTCCCTGTTTTCTTCTTTTAAAAAGATGGTGCCAGAGGATTTACTGATGAGACAGTGAACATCTGAACTTGAAAAGAGGTGAGCGAGGGATGGTGAAAGCCTCTAGGTGAACATTGGCACAGAACTGATACAGCTCTCCCACAAGCAAGCTTCCCCATTAACTGTGATGGAGGGGAGAGCAGCTCTGAAAGTATGGAACAAATAGCTGGATCAGGAATCTATCTGGTCTAGTATAATGATTATAAGCAACGTAGCTGGTGAAAGAGGATCCACTTAAAACAGTCACAATTCATTCTAATCAATCTCAGAAGGGCTCTTTGAAAAAGCACTCTTTGGGCAATGAGCATACCTTATGGCATAAAGGACTGTTCCATTGGGATATATTCTTATTAGACGGTTTTCAACTGTGATATCATGAAGAAAAGACTTTTTTGAGTCCACTATAAAGGTGTCTGGTACCCAAAGCATCTCCACAAGGCGGCCATCTAAGCTTAAGCTCTTGTTACCCTCAAAACAAAGGCGTTCATCAGTCCATCGTTGTCTTAGGAATATGGTAGCTGTGTAATCCTAGGAAGAGAGCACACTTTAAAACAGACAGCTAACTAAATACATTATAACACACATACCCCTTTCGTTTGATCTGCTATATGTATGGAAACAACAACTATTATTAACTCATAGCAGTTTCAAAAGGGATAGGTTCTCAAAAGCAACTCGCTACATGCCTTTTGTGCGTGAAATGCTGTTCTCGCACAGCACTGGATACAAGCTTAGCAGTATGAAGTAAAATGGCCATGTTGCCCCAAAGTGTTTTAGTGAGGTGTTTTGTTTTGTTTTGTTTTTTTAATGATATTGGTTCCTTATTCTGAAAGTCTAGCAAAGATGCTGGAAGCAAAAGGAGAACGAAAAAGTTTCCTGTTATACTTAATACAATATGAAGTAAGAAAAAAAACCACTACTATACCATGTTTATTTCCGATATTGTGTCAATGCTTGCTATATCCATACTCATTCCTACGGAGACAGGGCCATCTGAAATAGATGCACAAACATAGCATAAAATTAATATTCAGTCTATAGTAAGAGGTTGTGGTCTTTGTTTCGGTACTGAGAGTTCATCACTATGCTGTGGCAGATTACATGAGACTGGAGCTAAAAGCAGGACTTCCAAAGTCAGTTTTCCTGAGGGAGAAAGATTAGTCTCACAGGAGTTTCTGCGGGTCCGATGTGGTCTTGGAGCAAACATGTGAAGACAACTGAGCACATTTTGGAGTTGTTTAGCCAGCTTTAGCAGTTTCACTGGGTAGGGCTTCCTGGATAGGAAACAGTGCAGAAATCCCTATATCACAGAAATACAGTGCAATGTATCCATTTGGAAATAAGAATGCACATCAAAAATTGGACATTAAGGCCAAATGTTTTTTTTTTAAAAAAAACTGATGTTAATTTAGCAAAGATGTTTAATACTAAAATCATATAATGATGGGGGGAGGGGGTCTGTTTGATTCAATCCAGCAAGAATTAATTTAATCCTGTTCATTAATTTCAGTGTGGGTCTACTCTGTGTGAAACACTCAGCATATGCATCCTTCCATGTTTGTGAAATCTTCAGCAACCCTCCTGTTATTTAAGTAATTCAAAGAAATGCTGCCCACTTTTCTGCAGTTTTGGGAATGATATAAAATTGACAAAACTGCAATGAGGGTTCCCTTCCCTCAGTGACTTGCATCCTTCTGCTTCTTCCAGATGTCCACTGATGGTGCAATTGCTTCTGGGTTTGGCATGTGAACAAGTTGCAAATGTGTCCGAGGAGTTATTCTTCAGAGTTTAGTCTTATTACAGAAAAGGGCTTTTCAAATTTAGTCCCAGCAATTCACCTTAAGACAGGAGGAGTGGATACTGTTTGAAAATTTCCAATATTTAAAGGAAAAGAAAACAGTTGCCGCATTTAGTGAAGCCAAATGGACTTTGCATCTCAATAGATGAAATTTCCAGGTAAGTAGTCATGCAAGTCAGTTGCAGCAAAAACAAGAGAGGCCTCATTTGAATGTAATGATAAACTACAGTTTATCACTATGGCAATGAGCTCAGGCAAACTTTGGGTTCCCCTTCCTTCTTCCTTCAGCATGGCCACTAGGAGGACACTGGAAGCTTCCTCTTTTTTCTTTTTTTTACAAATAACAATTTGCCCTTTTGTCCAGATATGGACAAACTTTGGTTAGCTTTAAGTTGTTGTAATGAAACAATCCAACTTCAAACCTTGGTTTATGAAGCTGGTTTATTCCAGTAAACCATAGCTAAGATCAGTGGCATGTGGTGAATTTTTTCGTAGGGGAACAATTAGGGCCAGAGGTGCCAGCTTGCAAGGGGGTGTGAACATTGCACCTCCTTCTCTAAGCTGGGCAGAAGTTTCCTGGGCTTTGGGAAGGAAGCACCAGGGGGATTGGCCTAGTCCCACTAGTCCACTGATCTCACACCACTGACTAAGATCAACCACAGTTTAGGGTAAAATGTTCCAATCTCTTTTTTGGAGAGAAGGAAGGGGGAGGCATGCATGGCAGAGACTTACCTGGGCTCATTCCCATAACAATAAACCATTTACCATTATGTCCAGTCGTAACCAGAGAGTCTTGTTGCACCTTAAATACATAACCATCTTCTTCACCAAACCTTTATTAGGCATTACAGTGGTGCCTCGCAAGACGAAATTAATCCGTTCCACGAGAGTCTTCGTCTAGCGGTTTTTTCGTCTTGCGAAGCAAGCCCATTGACGGATTAGCGCTATTAGCGCTATTAGCGGTTTAGCGGCTATTAAAGGCTTAAAGGCTTAGGGGATTAGCTGCTAAAAGGCTATTAAAGGCTATTAAAGGCTTAGCAGATTAGATAAAGGGGGAAAGCGAAAAAAATCTCAAGACTCGCAAGATATTTTCGTCTTGCGAAGCAAGCCCATAGGGGAATTCGTCCTGCGAAGCAACTTCAAAACGGAAAACCCTTTCGTCTAGCGGTTTTTCCGTCTTGCGAGGCATTCGTCTTGCGGGGCACCACTGTACAAATAAAGGCTATCATAAAACATCCATATATAAAAATTTGAAATATATACAAATAAACAGCCATGTAAAAATATGTAACGAGGATTTTCATTGGAATTTCTTCCTGCTAAATAGTGCCATTCACCACTCTATGAGATACTATTGATAAAAACTCAGCCACCCTTGCAGATACTTCCAGGTTAATATCATACAGATAGATTTTGATATTTTCATTGTGCCGTGATGTTAGATACCCAAAAAAGGAGGTAGCTTGCATTTGCGTAGCTGGTTGTACAATGGACAGTAGAAAATATGTTCTCCTGTGTCTGGCACATTCAAAGAACATCTGCAATGTCTATCATTTCTGGGGATGTTTAAATATCTGCCCTTGACAGAAGCTGAGGGGGAAACGTTCAGTTGGGCTAACATAAAGGCCCTGCGTTGGACTGCAGTTATTAATTTTGAAATATAAGTGACCCTGTTATCTGGTGTACTTAAACCATAGAACCTGGGGGAGCAAATTTTATTTACAGCTGGCTTGATGTTTTGTTTTTCAGTGTCCCTTAATTGGATTTGAATATTGCAATAAATTTATTGGTCACTTGAATTATGCAAGAGTTCTAAGTCAATACCGATAGATCTGATTTTGCTATGTAAGAGCTGAAACCATTTGGAATTATAAGAATCCTTAAGTAAGTCAGAGAGCAGATTCAAAGGTTGGCAATGGAAATGGCAACGCAACCACAGTATTTTATAGTGCTAGCCTACACCCAATATTCCAATGTGTATATACCTAGTTCTGCACACATTGCCCCTTACTTGATTGGACTTGGGAGCCTCAGAAAACATCTCAAGAAACTTGACTGTCTCTTATCTAAATCACTATTATATGCTTGTATTCATATTGGGATCCCAAAAAGTATTCGGGATGACACTTTAGCTTGAAAAATTTGAATAGCAGCTGGTATAAATTGGTTACCTTTCTGAAAATAAAAGCAAGCTACCAACCTGAGTGCCACAACCAGAGAGTCTTGTGGCACCTTAAATGCATAATAACGGTTGTAAGTCTTCAAGACTCTTTATTGTTTCTGATTGATAAAATGATTTAATGTGTTGTAATAAAATAACCAGATAACATACGCGAGATTTATTCCTCTAATGGTAAACTGGTAAAATTTGACCAAATTGTAAAAAAGATTGATCCCAAGATCCTTGAGCTTACCTACTGCATCATTAAGGGAAGTTTTTGAAATTATTCTTGCCTCTCTCCAGTAGATGGCAATAGAAAACTATTCCCTTTTTCCAGCTTTGGAAGGCCAGAGGGCTAAACCAATAAAGGTTAAATATCTTACGATAGATGTGAATGCTTTATTTTGTAATGAATACTGGATTAATATGTATAAACTGGAAATTATTACTTTTATTCAATCTAATGAATAAAACAGTTTTGCAATGAAATACCATTTGATGAGAGACAAGGATGCATAGAATGCATTGAAGCTCAACTAGAAATTTAACATATTTTACTAGGCAAGAGCCAGAAGTAACCACACTAAGGTTACTTCCAATGCAAAGTGAAGATTATGTTTAAACGCCCCAGAATTCTGTTTTATGCCATTACACATCATCAACTTCTTCAAATAGCTCAATAAAATATTAGGCAATGGTGGTAGGATGTTTAGAACTGAGCATTCAAATGTAGTCACCTGCTTCTGCAACCCACACTTTTAACTTCTTGTTTTAAAAACTGAAGGTGAAGAGCCAACAGTTTCACATCAAAAGTTCCCACGAAACCAGGGATTCTGCTGTAGATTCTGCTTTGGCAGCAAAGCCAGCCAAATCTTGCAATTCAGTATACCCTGAGATGCAACCTGTTCAGACTGTGGTGCGTTTTGTTGTTCCATATTTCATTCTCTGTGTTCAAAGCATCTGTCTCCCAGGGCAACAGGGGGGAGGAAAATCAGCACTGAAACATCTGTCTCTACTTTAGTCTAACTCATTTCACAATTATTTAAAAGGAGGGGTTTAATGTGGAGCCCAGTGCATCCCTCAGATTTGCAGTAGTTGTAAATGATGTTCAGCAACCCACTTTAAAATAAACATACCATTCTAAATTATTAACTGGGTAGATGGTATAAAACTGTATTACTCCCCAGCATCTAATATACCTATATGAAATTTGATCATTATTTATAATTATGCATAATGCATAATTTGGAGCATATAGCAAGGATTTTGTTGTTGTTTGAAGCTGCTGCTGCACAGCTGAAGAAGCAAACTGGATACTTTCTCCTCAGTCTTTTTATAGTTTAAATACACACAGAGAAGTGGGTTCTTTTTCAGCAAACAGGAAAAAAAACAACCTCTGGTTCTTCAGCATTTCCAACTATTATTTTTACTAGGCACTCTGGTACCACTTGAAAGTGCACAAGGAGCCAGTGGTGTTCCCTAGAGATCTAAATTATGAAACATGTCACTGTTATGACAGGGCTGTAGAGGTCATAAGTTAACACCAAAACAGTCTATATAGTACGGACGATAGCAGACAACACATTTCCCTTCTAGCACATGACTGGATTCCTTCTGATATCTGGATCTTCTTAGTTAGCGAATGTGTTCTTTGCACCACAGGCTCCTCAATTCCTTCTACACTTTGCTTTTGGGCCATTATAAATAAGAATCTTGACTATACAGGCCGGTCTGTCACTTCTGTTAGATATGGCAGATCATAGTTCGGTATCACAGGGACAGAGCTAACCCTTCAGGTTCCTTCTAAACCCTGCAGCTCGGGAGATAGAACAACCTTTTAAAATGACACGATGCTGCCAAAGATACATGACTGAAAAGGCTTTAATTGTGGTTTCATTTCTCATTTTTCAGTTGTTCTCTAACTCTCAGAAGAGCCTATTCCCATCAAAACTTTTTTTCCTACTTACTGTCAAAAAATGGTCGCAGATACTTGTTATATCCTTTCATTATTTTCTGTATGGTTGGAGGAAGAATTTCACCCTTTTCTTCAGCCGGAGAAACTTGTGTTAATCTAACCAGGAAAAATAACAGGGAGTTTATTCTCAGGCTATTGTCACAGATGAAACGCTGTGCCAAATTTCTAACACAGAAGTTGTGTTGCTTTTCCATCTCATAATGTCTACATGTAGCAAGAGCATTTCCCAAAATGCCAGACTTGATAGAGCTTTAGTTCCCCAAGGAGCAGAATCTGCCGGTTTTATATCTGGCCCAAATTTGGTACAACTGCCCTGATAGCTGAATGAATTTCTAAAGTGTTCAGTGTTTGCTTGCCGTTTCTGCAAGATACATAATAGTAGGTAGGCTTTTTCCCATCCCATAAAATGAAGTTTATTTTTATATACCATGAAATCTGCTTAGTCAAATTTCCCCAAGGGATAAAATACATCAGAAAATATTTTTGCATGCCACAGCTGTTCTCTGCACCCCAAGCTGGTGTCCTCCAGATGTTTTGCTCTACAGTTCCCATTAGCCCCAGCCAGCATGGTCACTGGCCAGCAATGATTAGAGAGTTGTATGCCAAAATGTCAGAAGAGCACCAAGCTGATCTACAGTTTCCATTTCCAGAACAACAATGAATTTTGTTCTGGTACAGACAAGTTACTATAGTGATCAGGTATGAGCTGTGGCAAAACTAGGCCTCATACACTCCTGAGTTCAGAGTTGCCCAAACTTGGGTCTCCAGCTGTTTTTGGACTACAATTCCCATCATCCCTGACCACTGATCCTGCTAGCTAGGGGTGATGGCAGACCCAAGCTTGGGAAACCCTGCCTTGGTGTATAATAGGAAGAGAATGAAAGATTCTACTTGCACTTAGAACCAGTAGCTATATTACGTTCAAACCCAGATCTCTACGGTTTGTTCTGACTATATTTAGTTAAAGCAAATTATATCCAAAAGTTATCTCTAAGAGCCCTGATGTTTATTTCAATGACATAGTATCCATGTGTATATTTGGGGGAATAACCCATATGCATGTGACCTGTATGTGTACTGATGATTATCACATATATATCAAAATCTAAATTATGATACAGGAAGTGCAAATATACCTCTGTGTCCTCTTTGCACTGAACTTAGGCAGGCCAGTGGATCCAATTGGTTCTCATGCAATAAAGTTATCACCTTTGCAACCTGGTGCACAAATAATATGAAACTTCATCCCATAATCCTATAATCCACTTGATCTGCCGGTCTATCTATTGAGTGCGCCCCCTGAAAAACCCACCCTCACAGTTGCCTGTGCAGGGATGATGTTCCCTATCACAACATACAAATCAGATGCAATTATTGTTGACAGGTATCTGAGGATAAAAATTCAAATGTGATAAAATCCTGCATAGTTTATGAAAGCAGACGGCTGGGGAGCAATACCTTGAAACACAATCCTGCTCTGGAACCATTTCATTCACTCGCAAAGAAACTTAACATGCATGCACCATGCCCTGCCATGGAACGCATGACTGAACAGATTTGATTGTTTCCAAATCAGGTAGTAAAATTCTTTAGGCAGGAACCACTTTTCTTTGCATGTTTCTATAGTGACTAGCATAGTCTATTCAAGCAAAGGCACACTTAGCTGAAGTCAAAGAGAACAGGAAATCTGCAATCATTAACATTAGATGCGTAGAGTTTAGTTATAAAGGACAGGAACAGAATGATACCAAAGGCAACCAGTGTGGATCAGTTGACAAGACTGAAAGTCCTCATCTCCCCATAGCCGTCTATATCGTCTTCTCTTCAGGGCTTTCCCCAAGCAATCAGAGACTGTGCCAGCATGAAGCCTGCCACTGCTCTGCCCATTTCAGTCATCTTCTGGAGATGGGGGGAGGGCAGCTTGTCGCAGCAGGAAGAGGAGACACCTGTGACTCTTCACCAGCCTAACTCATCTCTGTCTCTTGGCCTCTCTCCTCTCCAGCCTCTGATTCTGGACTCCCCTCTGCCACAGACTCTCCCAGCTCACTAAGCCCTGTTACTTCTTCAGCTTCTGACACCACCTCTTCTACGTCTTCTCCCTCTGACTACTCATCATTGTCCCACCATCACTCCCTGGGCTCTGAGTCTTTCCCCCTGGGGTTTCCCTAGCTGGTTCTCCCCACCACTCTTCTGTGTCCAACCAGTCCATGACAGCAGCAGTGATGCTTGCCATACGGAAACCAGGTATGCAATGCAACCCCACCTTCACTGCTCCACCAAACACTACTGGGCATAATAAGAGCCCCACTGAACCAGACCAAAGCTTCACCTAGTCTGTTTCCCACAGTGGCCAACCAGATGTCTATGGGAATCCCACAAATGGGACGTGACAATTAACAGCTTTCTCCGTAGTCCCTCCCTAACAACTGGTTGTTGTTGTTTAGTCGTTTAGTCGTGTCCGACTCTTCGTGACCCCATGGACCAGAGCACGCCAGGCACTCCTGTCTTCCACTGCCTCCCGCAGTTTGGTCAAACTCATTTTAGTAGCATCGACAACACTGTCCAACCATCTCATCCTGTCGTCCCCTTCTCCTTGTGCCCTCCATCTTTCCCAACAACTAGTAAAGGTAAAGGGACCCCTGACCATTAGGTCCAGTCGTGGCCGACTCTGGGGTTGCGGCGCTCATCTCGCTTTATTGGCCGAGGGACCCAGCGTACAGCTTCCAGGTCATGTGGCCAGCATGACTAAGCTGCTTCTGGCGAACCAAAGCAGCGTATAGCCACCATGACTAATAACTAGCATTGGCACAGTCCATGATGGGTAGACACAAAAACTACTGTCCCTCTGTTAATGGAGACATCAGCTGTGCAAAAGAAGGAATCACTTATTAGTTTGACTAGTGAAAATACAGTAGACGCTCGGGTTGCGAATGTGATCCATGCAGGATGCATGTTCGCAACCCACAGTGACGTGTCTGCGCATGCGTGTGTTGCGATTCGGCACTTCTGCACATGCGCAAAGCACGATTTAGCGCTTCTGCGCATGCGCTGCCGCCCAAACGCGGAAGTAACCCGTTCTGGTACTTCCGGGTTTCGGCGGGTCCATAACCCGAAAAAACGCAACCTGAGGCATCTGTAACCCGAGGTATGACTGTAATGGATTTCCTGACCACCTTTCCCTCCCTATTCTATTAGTGAATAATACAGTTGCAAGGTGGAAACCTGGGGAAGCACCTCCCCTCTCTCTCTTGGAAAGCCCCAAGGGAGGATCCTGACACGACTTCTCTTCCTCTGCTTCCCATCCTCCACATCTTCCTGTAGTGGGTGAAAATGAGGATCTTGATGGGAGGGGCAGGTGGGCAATGGAGGTCAAAGGAGGACCAAGAGAATTTGAGGGGGCAGGCCTGATCAAAGAAGCTGTAGAGATAGGCAGCTCCTTGCAAGCTCTCCACCTCCCAAGTTTCATTGTCTTGAAATGCCCCAATAACCTTTTGCTCCCACCCCAAATGATTCTGCATGCACAGAGGAAGAATGCAACCAACGCCGCCATCTCTTACCTGCATAATATCATTAGGGAAAGGGCTTTGAAACCCCAGCTCGAGGTGCACATCATTGGAGCTGGCTCCAACAAAAAATCTTTTTCTTTCCTAAAAGCAAATGAAGCAAAAGCCTTACTCGCAGAGCACTGTGAAGAACACAGAGAGTCTTAACAGGTTACATGAGGTTACCAAGGGTGACTTTAAAAAAGGAAAGAAAAAAAGGATCACTGGGGAAATTGCAGATAGTAACATTACTTAATCCTGACAGAGTTCAGAGGGGATTAGCTTAATCCAATTTTGCAGGTTTGTGTTTTACACTTCGGTCCTAAACGGAAGCAATTCCCTTTTATTTAAGTTGAACTTTAAAGCTGGGGTGCGAAACAGCTGGAATGTGGGCCATATGTGGCCCTCCCCACCTGAAATGCATTATCCCCTCACTGCTCTATCCCCTCACTGCAATTAGGCTTGAAAAAAGTTTTCTACTGGAGTCACAGCTTTCCCTCTCTAGTAGGCTTCTCTCTCTCTCTCTCTCTCTCTCTCTCTCTCTCTCTCTCTCTCTCTCTCCATCAATAGTACTGAGAATGGCTGCTGTTTTGTCTAACCCATAGGTAGGCAAACTAAGGCCCGGGGGCTGGATCCGGCCAAATCACCTTCTAAATCCGGCCCATGGACGGTCCGGGAATCAGCGTGTTTTTACATGAGTAGAATGTGTGCTTTTATTTAAAATCCACCTCTGGGTTATTTGTGGGGCAAATGAATTTGTTCTTCCCCCCGCAAAAGATAGTCTGGCCCCCCACAGGTTCTGAGGGACAGTGGACCAGCCCCCTGCTGAAAAAGTTTGCTGACCCCTGGACTCTAACCGCCCTGACACTCTTGCAGTTGGGAGACTCAAGGCTGATTCTGTGTTGTCCCTTAATGAAATCTCCTCAGGGCAATTTTTAAAAAAACACACCCCAAAACCTGAAACACCATCTTTTCATATGATAAGCAATAAACTATAACACAGAATAGTCCAATAGCACCTGGAGTGTCAGATTCCTTCCCTGACCTAGTCCAACATCCCCCACTTGGTTAGTTAGGCAACAGACCTCTCATTTGTCCACAATATCTGTTTTGCAGGTATATGCTGCCTCTGTACATGAAGCTTTAATTTCCCTATCCTAGATAATGCCTTCCAATAGATCTATGCTTCATAAATTTGTCTAATTCCCTTTTGGAGCCACGGAAGCTACTTGACCAACATCTATAGCTCTACCTCAATATCTTCTTTCTTTAAATAAAAAAACAAAAAAACGCTAGTGTGACCTTGATTAACTTGCAGTCCTCCAGATAAGGACTTGATTTTACTGACAATTGCCTTTTTCATCAGAAGACCAACAATTTCACCCTCAGGTGTAAGAAGTCCCTGTTCTAGCAACTTTTACATTTTTGCCTTATTAGCTAGCCGAAGAACATTGTCTATTTGACAAGGAGCTAATCCTATGCGTTTTTAGTCAGAAGTAAGCTGTGTTCAGTTTAATGGGGCTTACTCTGAAGAAAACATGCATGGAATAGCAAATTTAGTTCTTCACAAACTCTTCCCAAGGGAGGGGGCAGATATGGGGACCAGTGGAAACACAATACGAAGCATTTATTTACCTTCTCTCCCTAATCCTTCATCACTACTCCTTGAACACCTTTGTTGCCTAACAGTAACCACTTCTCTTAATAAACTAGAGTTCCCAGGATTCTCTGGGGGAAGTTCACTTTAAATGTATGATGTGTGTGCATCCCTAGTCCAACTGATCAGCTGCCATAATTTTCTGTGTGCTCGCTGGCAACCTAGGCCCTGTCCCCACTCTGAGCTATGAAATAATTACCCTGAGGGAGGAGTTGTCCTGGTGTTCTCCAGCTCCTGTCAGCTTTCTACAAGTTTATTTTATTCAGAGCAATTTATAAATGCTTCATCATTGGGGGGGGGGGAGGCATTCAAACACACATCCCATACGATTCCCCAGAAAGGCACAGAATGTTATGATGTGTGGTCACTTCCTGAGACCATTTAATTTATTTATTTATTTTAAATTTACCTCATGGACATGGTAAAGTTCAAGCAACCAAAAGTGTTAAAAGGAAAAGGACCAGAATATCAGAGCAAGATTTCTCAAGGAAGTAACAGCTTTTGTGAATAGTGTTGTTGAATAGAGATGAACAAAACAGCCTACTTCCATCCCATTTCAGCTTCTCTTTCATGCAAAAACAGATCCATGCCGTCTTATTTTCACGTAGGTTTTATTTTTGATTCTAAAAATCCACAGTTCTCCCCAAAAAATAAAAAAGCAGGTGATTATGAGGTGTTTGGAGCACTGCCTCCATTTCCTCTACACAGAGGCAGTTTTAGGGTACCATGACCGGTTTGGCTTCCCTAGGCCCCAGATCCACAGAGGGCACCACAACAATGTTGTAGAGCGGAGTGCAAGAGGTGGAGGGCACCGAATTTAAGCATCGCACAAGGTGCTGCTGAAATTTGAGAGCCCAAAGTCTGCCACAGCTCTACAGCAAGCTTGGGAAATCTGTAGCCCTGATGGACTGGGGGCCCATCAGCCCCGACTAGCATAGCTAATGTAAGGATGTTGGGAGCAACATCTTAATTGGGGTGAAGAATCTCCAGCCTGTGTGCCAGTCTTGGTCTGCTAGGGGGTCCAGTTTGGCCCATGAGGCCAATTCCCAGCAAACCACACCCACCTGCCTATCACCCGGCATCACTCAGTGGCATCGGCTGATGGGCAGGGGGCGGAGTCCCATTCAGCCAGTTCAGCAGAATTAAATACAGACCCCTATCTGAATTACCTACTTACCAGTCAATAAAGATCACAGATAGGGCTTGTAGTGTCTAGCACAGGCCAACATGCAGCAGTCTAGATGCAGTGGACTACAACTCCTATCAGCCCCAGCCAGCATAGCTAATAGCCAGGGGAGATGGGAATTGTAGTCCAATAACCTCTGGAGGGCGGCAGCATGTGGGTTATCTCTGCTGCAGCAAAACTAAGAGCATTTATTTGAAGAGATGGGAGATAAACCCAGGAGGCTAATGCTACGGGACTTCCAGGTCCAGCTGCCGGATTCACTCTTTGAAGATAACCAATTGATGAGAGCAAGCCAGGGGTCATGTCCGCTTTCAGTTATTAGCTGTAGTTTTCCTGCCTTCATTTGGCTGACAAGTTTGCTCCTGGCATGCCACTCAGCCAACTTCTAATTTCCAACAGCATTTGAGATCTTGCCTATCAAAAGCACAGCACAGGAAGACAGCTGAGACATAAATAGGGGGGGAGAAAATGGAGCAGTTCTGTTTAGATGGAGGCCCAGCTTGTATAATTCCTTGTTATGTCCAGAGAGCGCTTGCCAACCTTAAGCATCTCCTCTGGGATAGAATGGTATCCCTTGTGACCTGCCCGCTTGACCACAAGGATCTAGGCTAGAGCCTGCTGAATGTTTGATGAATTCAAAATATCGGATGGTCCTTTAGAAAGGAATGTCTGTCCTCGGCAACAGTTACTGTGCTATTTCCAGAGAACAAAAATATTCATGCTTCCCTCTGAAGAAATATGAAGTTATTGGACTTAAATGGATGCTTCTGCCTGCAGTTCAACATAGCATAGAATGGAAGTGTGTGTGTGTAACATGGATGGCACAAGGCTTTTTGAATCCTGAGGCAAGGATGGAACCCATTCACACAAAGGTTTGATGGCTCCTTCACATACAGAAGGAACCATCAAACCTTTGTTACAGGTGTTTGTAAATGATGCATAGCTAACACAGCATTCTAAGCTACAGGAAGCCACTGCAATTTATGCTGGGCTAAATTATGTAATTTATCCCTATTCCAAACTCTGTTCAGGAGTGGCAGAGGGAAAACAAGGCTTTGCAATAGAATCTGACTTACACCACCATTTTGGTCATTGTAACTTCCCTTGGGTTGCTAGGTCACAAGCTATCGCTGAATGGAGTTTGGAATAGAGGTAAGTTCCCCTCTGTCCCATCCTGGTGTCACCACTCCTCTGGAACACTACATTTTGGGGACTTATGCTGGCCTTGGCTCGGCCACCTTTGCCTCAGCTGCCTGAGCTCTGGCTTAGCTGGGATGGAGGACTTGCGCCAACAGAGCCCCATCTCCACTGGAGATCCACATATTCAAAACTCTGGTCAGTGTGAGGGTTCATGGGATTTGATTACTTCCTAAGCCTTCAAAAGCTAGCATATATTACTAGAGCACCAGGCACTATGTTTTACTACTACTTAAAATGTACAGACCTGGACCCTGCAATCATCACCTGAGGCCCTCCTTCATGTGCCTCCTCCATGAGAGATCCAGAGGGTGGCAACGGAAGAATGGGCATTTTCTGTGGTGACTCCTCATTTGCAGACTGCTCTCCCCCAGTAAGGCTCACCTGGCACCTTCATTACATATCTTCGGCACCTGGGGAAAAACATTCCTCTTCTCCCAGTCCTCTAGCTAATTAAATAATCTATGGCTTTTTAAACTGGGGTGAGGGGTATTGTTTTTGTTTGTTACTATGTTACATATTTTTGTGCTTTTCTACTGTAAACCACCCTGTGATCCTTGGATGAAAGGTGGTATAGTAATAAATAAATAAATGAATAAAATAAAGGGGTTTTGTTGTTGTTTTTTATCGGGTTTTAAGCACACTTCAGTGCTCTGTTGTATGCAACATTACCTAGAAGCTGGGTCCTAGAGAGATAATAATCCTATGACATTTCAGAAAACCATCCAAACAATACAAAGCAAATCATGCACTTTTTTGGTCCAGCCAGGGAAAGCAGAAACTGGTGGAATCTGTTGTGGTCTATTTATTAGGGATGCATCTCTATCACTGTCCATCAGTTGCAATTCTTAACATGGTTTTCCTCCTATTTCCTTGATAATGCATGCCTACTCAGAAGCAAGTCCAATAGAGGTCAGTGGAGCTTACTTCTAGGTAGTGGGATGCCTTAATTTTGCAGTCAGTGAAGACTATTTCCCATAGGCATCCGGTCTGCCACTGTGAAAACAGGATGCTGGCTTGACCCAGCAAGAAGGAGCGAAGTGGGTGTGAATTGCTTGTCTACTGTAAACCAAGGTTTGTGGTTTACTGTGTCATGCAAATGCAGCCACTGTGTTTGCATTTTCCACTTAGGAAGATTATATTGCTTTTAAACGCCTACACTGTTTATGTTAACATCTGACTGTAGCTGATGGAAAAGAAAATGGAGAGGTATTTGTAAAGTGGATTAGCATTTTGGGCAATAGGTTTTAGCTTCACACTGCAAACCCTAATGAAGCAATTAAAAAAAAAAGCAAAGCAGCCTCACGTTCAGCTTGCATCCATTAATAAAATCTTATGTTCTCAATCAAAGAGTAATTTTAAGGAAACCTTGTGTATGTTTGTATATTGTATATTGTAATATTGACTCATACTGATATATGCTAGAAGCCAGATGAAGGTTTGGCTAAACTGTGTCATAAATGTGTCTCCAAAACAGATGTTTGACAGCCTAAAGGAGAAGATGGGGAGCTGTTGTTGAGAGACATAACTTGCCCAAGGCCTGCCAGTGTGTTTTCATGGGTGAGGTACAATTTGAGCGGAAACCTCCCCGGTGAAAGTCTCAAAAGCTGACATTCTGTCTATCCGCTAGCACACACCAGCTGATCGGGCAACACGGCAATGATGCATTTTCGTTTACAACCTTGTTGATTGGAATATTTTAAGCCCTCGTGGTTTGTGTTGCGACAGCTTCACATCTTTACATCGATATCAACAGCAACCTCATTCTCCAAACGCCAGTAGGCAAAATGGCATTATCCCCACACAAGAGGGTTTGGGGAGAAATCCCAAGGTTTGCAGGAAAAAAATCTTTAAGGGGTGGGGAGAAAAGAAAAGAAAAGAAAAGAAAAGAAAAGAAAAGAGTTTAAAAAGGAGGCAACAATGATGGCATTTAATGAGAAATTGAGCTTTCTTCCTCAATATCAGAATGATGCATCATATCCATACCATGATAGAATACGTGGTATAGTGCACCCCTGTTCTGTCCTGAGATGGATCTGATGGATTGACTGCGTATTATTTGGAAATAGCTTGAAGTAGAGACATATAGAATTAGTTGCTTTACTGCTGGTCGTAATCTAACCATTATTTAGTTCTATGGTCCCCAGTGTGGCACCTCTGGGTACTACAGTGCCCATTAATACCTGATTTGGGGCCCAGCCAAGGTCCCCCGGTCCTTCCCAAATATTTGACTTTATTTTTAAATTGATATTTTGGTGGTTTGGGGCAGGGAGGAGTTGGTTGGAAAGATTTGTCTGTTAGTGGAAGGAGTGTTACCTGATTTCTTTTTCTGTGCTTTATCTGGTGGAGAGAGTTGCAGGTGTTTTTTCTGGTTTGTGGGGAGTTCTGAGTTCTGAGCATCACCAGTTTTTCTGCTATAAAATGGGTATTCTGTGTTGCCTACAACAGTCTCTTCATTATACCAATGTGTCCCTGGGCACAAAAAGACTCGGGACATCTGCTTTAGATCACATTCTTTATATAGCCAGCATGCTACTGCATGTTGTTTGCAGTTATTTTACTTTAGGGAAGTTTTTAATAACTGATGTTTTAATGTATTTTTAGTCTTTTGTTGGAAGCCGCCCAGAGTGGCTGGGGAAACCCAGCCAGATGGGCAGGGTATAAATTATTATTATTATTATTAATTTAGTCTATTGCAAAATCACAAATGGCTGGTTTTTTCCATATATTTATGTACATGCTTCTTCCTGGTATTTTATTTATATGGATCATATATCAATGTGTAAATTGTTACTTTGTATCCCTACTTGTCTTGATTTAAAAAAAATAAATTCTAAGCAGGTTGAAGGTGCAGGACCTTGATGACCCTGTCACTCTGAAAGGGGCTTGTACGTGTATTCACCTCCTCCCTATAGTCAGGAACCGTGCATGATCAACACAGCACAAACTAAGCCTCCTGGTGTATATTTTGCTCAAGGCAACTTAGTTTGGTCAGTATCAAGTATATATTTCCAGAGTTAACTCTAAATATATTACGTCTGGTAAATAGCTGCTAGAGGGCCGTGAAAATTTGTGTCCAGGCTTTCTAGATTCATCTAGAAAGTGCTTCACGGCCTAGGACCCTCATACCTACGGGACCGCCTCTCCTGGTATGCCCCACGGAGAACCTCAAAGTCCATAAATAGCAACACCCTAGTGGTCCAGGGCCCTAGGGAAGTTAGATTAGCTTCAACCAGAGCCAGGGCCTTTTCAACACTGGCTCCGGCCTTGGGGAATGCTCTGCCTCATGAGAGCAGGGCCCTGCAGGATCTGATTTCTTTCCGCAGGGCCTGTAAGACAGAGTTGTTTCGTCTGGCCTTTGGCTTGGAGCCAATTTGATTCCCTCCCCCCTTTCTTTTTTCTTTTTCCTTTCTCCTCCTGTGATGAGGCTACATTTTAATATTTTAATGTTTTAATATTTTAATTGTATTTTAATCTTGTTTTTAAGTTGTATTCATTCAACTTGATTTTATTATTGCTTGTTAGCTGCCCTGAGCCCGGCCTTGGCTAAGGAGGGCGGGGTATAAATAAAAATTATTATTATTATTATTATTATTATTATTATTATTATTATTATTTACTGATATACTATCTGAAACCAAAGGAGCGCATTGGTTGCCAGATGTGTGTTGGGTTTTTTTTCCATTTCTCCTACCCTACTACATAAACTTTCCATTCACATACATAAACTTTCCATCCCCCACACTGCTCATTCATAAAGATCCATTCACACACACCCATACATCCACAGTGGGTGGAAAGCAGGGTAAGTCCAATCCAGCCAATCACAGCCCACAGTGCATGGATATGGAACCACACTTCCTTGCAATCTCTCTCTCTCTCTCTCTCTCACACACACACACACACACACACACACACACACACACTGTTCAGCTGATCTATGAGAAACAGCTGAGAAGCAAGGCCTATGGGGTGAGGCAGGGGGGTCTAGGGTGTTAGAAGAGGCTGGTAACAGAATGGGAAGGTCTTGGTAGGCTGCATCTGGTTTGCAAGCTGGTGGTTGTGCCTGTCACCTAAGGAAGCTGGCACTCAGATCTGTCACTGTCTCTGAGGCTAGACTACCTCACAGCACCGTCTAGAGCAGCCTTTCTCAACCTGTGGGTCCCCACATGTTGTTGAACTACAGCTCCCACCACCTCTAGCTAGCAAGGCCAGAGCTCAGGGATGATGGGAGTTGTAGTCCAACAACATCTGGGGACCCACAGGTTGAGAACCACTGGTCTGGAGTATAGCATGGGATAACCTTGTGTATGCTACCCTGAGTTTTTTGAAAGAAGAGTGAGACACAAGTTTATGAAAAGAATACCACCACCACCACCAATGCAAATAATTTTTGGAAGGGACACTATCTGGTCTCAACGCTGCTGTGGCAACTCATCACTAAGGTAGATAACAAACAAGCAGGGTTGGGGAAAGCATTTCAAAGTTGTGTTGCCACCACAGAAAAGTCCCTAGTCACCATTCACTAAATCTTGGGTAGCGGGTTGTGTTGAATCAGACACCAACCTCCGCTGCTGATCTCAGCTGATAATCATATTATCTGGGTGCATAATTACCCAGTTCCTGAGCTACATGGGCTCTTAATGGTTAAAATCAGCACTTTGAATTGTGCCAAGGAACAGACAGGAAGCCAGGGGGTGCTGATGGCAAGACTGGCAAGATGTGTCCTGAGCAGCCAGCCTTTGTGAGTATTCCAGTTGCTATGTTCTCAACCAATGAGAGTTAGAATAATAGAATTGTAGACTTGGAAGGGACCACGAGGGTCATCTAGTCCTTCGATGCAGGAATCTTTTTGCCCATCGTGGGGCTCAAACCCATGACCCTGAGATTAAGAGCCTCACACTCTACCAAAGGCAATTCAGTGCTTTGAATAACTCTTTGACCCAACCCATGATGAGCAGAAGCAGAATGAGTTATAGAAAATAAACAAATTAAAGCCCTATCTGGGCATTCAAAAACAAACACAATGATCACGTGTGGGAGGAGAGTAGGCTCAGGTTTCCAGCCAATGGGGAAAGCCTATTTGAGCCCCAATGTAAACAAGCTCTCAATTTGTTGGCAGTCTCAGGGAGGGGCCAGAACAGAGCACAACAAGAGTGGGGGAGCCAGGGAGGGTCCTCCCCCTGCCTCACACAATTATCAGTGATTGTTTTTGAACACCTAAAAAAGGTTACAGGTGCACTTTTTTATTTAGATGAAGTATTTAGACCGAAGAGTTTAGTGGCTACTTTGGCATAGATTTGTTTTATTATATTATTTGCACGCAGAGTATCCTCTGCCTTGTCTCTGTACTGCTTTTCTGCACCATCCTATATGCTTCTTTGAGGCCTGGTTGGAAACGCAGCATTACTGCATGCAGATCATTTCTTTGGGGCGAGGGACTAATGTAGTCATTGTGGCAGAGGACAGTGTCTCCAATCCCCCTTTTAAGCTATGTGATTCTACTTTCTCTATGCAGCACAAGCGACTGCCATTTACAGTGGTACCTCGGGTTACATACGCTTCAGGTTACACACTCTGCTAACCCAGAAATAGTGCTTCAGGTTAAGAACTTTGCTTCAGGATAAGAACAGAAATCGGGCTCCGGCGGCGTGGCAGCAGCAGGAGGCCCCATTAGCTAAAGTGGTGCTTCAGGTTAAGAACAGTTTCAGGTTAAAAACGGACCTCCGGAACGAATTAAGTACGTAACCAGAGGTACCACTGTATTATCAACAAGGACACTTTATGTACATTGGAATAAAAAGGAAGAACTGGAAGACACATGCCGCAGCATCCCAAAATAAACAAAAGCTTGAAGGCTTCTCAAGGTGGCAATCAAGGTGTGCCCATTGAAGTGAGCCCCCTGAAGTCAGTGGGGCTTACTTCTCAGTAAGCATGCATACACTTTTGTTGTAAGAGATAACTTTTAAATATTAGAAAGGGTTCTACGTGCCTGGCCAACATGGGCAACTGTTTCCATCAAAGCCACGATAACTACTCTAGCAGAAAAAAACATAAAAACATAACATACAAAAACGAATGTTTCACCAGCTTCAGAACTCCATTTAAACTATGTTGTATTTGTGTAACAAAACTCCTACATTGTATCTTCTTTCTTAAAAAAAAAAGTAAATGTATCTATTCATTAGGTTAGGTTTCTCTCCCCTGGAGTATTTGAAAGTAATATAACGATGCTGTGAATGTTAGCTTTTGGGTGCTGTGTAAGTCACAGTTCATCCAACATCAGTGACAAAACTCCTGCTGCAGATTTCAAACTTTGCCGAAATTCTTATGATAAAGCTACAACAAAACTGCAATAATTCTAATTGTAGTATAATGCTCATAATGTCTACATACATTAACAGTATTTTTTTAAAATTTAAAGATCTCTAGGAACATTGACACCACTTTCCCCCTCTTTCAAGGTACCTAAAATCTTTTTTTAAAGGCAATTAATGTACCTTCATAGTCAGATTTTATAATTTTATATCTTTGGCATATTCTTTAGATCTACTGTCATGCCGCTAATTTCTACCTGCATTTATGTTTTAAAAAGCAATTGGGCATTTCTGGAAGAAGAATTCATTCTTACACCATTTTCAAAAGAAACGTCACGACTGCTTCATGTTGTTTTTATATTTTTTAAAAAGCACATTCCCTAAATTGGCTGTTTTATTCTTCTGAAAATATAACCCCCATCACAAAACTGCAACGTGCCAATTACAAACTTACTACGGATGGAGCTCAGCCTGCACTTAATTGAAAGTAAGGCTACAATTCCTACCCACTGAAATCAGTGGGGCTCAATGCACTGGATCAGGTTTGCGATCCTATTTCATAACCCGCTTCTTTCCCTTCCCCACCAGAGCCCACAGCAAACATGCAAACAATTCCAAACTCTGGAAGCGTTCAGAAAGTATTTTTAGGTTGCATTTAGGTTGCACTTATTGGGGACAAAATGGCATAGTGGGGCAAGTAACCCAGTCACACATCAGCAGGATAAGATAAGATGAGAAGAGTTGAGGGGGAGACACACTCACCTACAGAAGGGACGCACTGGGCATCTTGGCGCTGTTGCCGCAAGGACAGTCAGGACAATCCCAGCCCGCGAGAATCCGGCTCCAGGTGCTTCGCTTTCGACCTTCCGACGGAGCGGCGCCAGCTCCGCGCGCGGGGATCTGCCTCTGGCCAGCGCCTCGTGTCGCTGTGCGCGCAGCGAGCGAGCGGAGATGGCGGAAGGGGCGGGCAAGGGGCGGCACCGCGCTGTCCAGGCAGGAGGACGGACACCGCGCCGTCCATCTGCTCTGTCCGTCCCACCTCGCCGCAGGGAAGCAGCAGCAGCAGCGCCACAAGCTCTTGGGAACTGACGGAGGACAGAGGCGCAGAGACTTGGGGGGTCGGGGTGCTCCGACGGCCAAGCGGCGAACGCGCACAGGCGCACGACGTGGAGTTCGCTAGTGGTTCTCCGTGCTACAGCCCCCCTCTCTTTTCTTAGAGGATCAGGCCGGGGCCGGTTCCCTCAGTGTGGAGGCGTCGCCCCCTTGCAGTCCTTGTCCTTTGGTCTCCCCCCTGAACGCCCGGAAGGAGCCCCATGGAGCCCTGCGAGAAAAAGAAGGGGCAAAGCGTTGGTATCGTAGTAGCGCACCCTACAGAATCAAATAAAAGGGTGGACGTTTCCCGCAATTGCCCCTGTACCGTGGAGTACCCTTCTCTCTGCCAGACCTGAAGCAGCGACCATCAGACCTCTTGTAAAGACATATTTGTACGCACTGTCCCACAATACCGTACCATTTAAAACCCCTATGAACTCCCTGAATCCTTGCTTTTTTATACGCTGCTAGTTTTATGCTGTGTTTAGTTTTAAATGTATTGTTTGTTGCTTTTACGTTGCACACCGCTTAGATATTTGAAGCATTTTAGGCGGTTTATAAATGTTTTAAAATAAACAAACCGCAGTAGGGATCTATGGGAGCAATCAAACAATGATTTGCGGGGTGTCTGAAGGGACCCCCCCAAAAAAGAACAAACCCTCCACATTTGGGTGCCTGTATTCCAAGGGTAGGGAGCAGGGTTTAGGTCGGATGTGGATCCCTCTGCTGGACGAAAATGCTTGTAAGGAGAGCCCAGGGCAGGTATTAATAATGAACCCTGCTGAGACCCTGGGAGCTGTCCATGGATGTTGGGTGCTGATCGCTGCCCTATTCAGCATGCCAGTTACTCCCGTATGCAGATCTCTAGAGGTAGCAACTCCCATTGGTTCCTCCTTCCCTTTAATAGTTCTCCAGAACAGATTTCATTCACTGCTTTTTTACATTATTCTTTTTGTACCAGTTGTGGTACCTTCAAGATGTTTTTGCTGGTCTCCCAAATCCTGTCTTCCCTCACCATTAGCCTTTCTGGTTAGGACTAAGGCTCAATTCACATGGCAGTTTATTTCATTTCCCCAGTGTTTCACTGTTAACTTCTGTATTATATTTGAGCTCTCACATGGTGCAAAAGCCACTTTTGAAAATCTAGTGCAAGTTTAGGGCTCGTTTCCATGTTAATTGGTTCTAGAAATAATACATTTGCAACCCTACCAACTCAGAAAATCACAAAAGTGAAAAAATTTAGGGAGCTATGTTAGCATACAGTTCTTTCCTGCCATTTTTGTGGATGGTTTGTGAGGAAACAGAAGCTCGCACATGCAGAAAGCGTGGGGGATTAGTGACGTTGTCCAGTGATGTCCATTGTGGTGCCATGCCACTGGTTTGAACGGCATCAGTGAAAGAGCCTCTGCAACAGGTACTGTGAAAGTAGTGTTAGAAAATGTGGCAGACATACTAGCATTATAATCCAGGAAAGTAATGCAATATTCAGCATGTACCCTAATAAAAGTCCAAGAACACCTGGAGTGACAGGTTCTGTACCCTTGTTGTACGTGGTGTTAGGTTTCACTTCCTAAAACTGCTTTCCCAACCTGGTGCCCTCCAGATGTTTTAGACTACAACTCCCACCATCCTGACCATTGATTGTGTCTGCTGAGGCTCATGGGAACTGTAGTCCTAAACATCTGGAAGGCACCAGGTTGGGGAAGGCCGGCCTAAAGCCTTGTTGTTGTTGTTGTTGCTGCTGCATCTGTGAACAGAAGAAATTTAAGAACTGTAAAATCCCACACGTGCTGCAGCTGATCCGATTATAAACAGAATGAAACATTGTACGCTCTATCTGTGTAGGGAAGAGCTTGTTCTTGCAGCACAGACTCTTTTCCTCTCTCTCTAAGTTCATGTCATTCATCAAGGAAAAAGACAGCTGTGACACCCCCTGGTTGGGAGGGGGAGAGAAAGCCCTCCAGTGATATTGAGCTTGTCCCAGCTACCAGCAAAATAGAGCAAAGCTGTGTGTCATGTAAATTTACAAAAGTAGCATAAAAAAAAATGCATTACCAACTAGCATCCCCTCCCTGACCCACTTGCAGTGCTAGGTGGATTAACTTGTTTATCGATGGATTATCTATGATTCTGTGTTTGCCTCTTTTTTCTCTTGGAACCTCACAAAGGTTGGTTGCAGGAAAGGAGAAAGGCTCAACAGCATTGAAATATGGCTTCCTTTAGCCCTCTGGGGTGGTCTATGGGGGTGGGCGGGTGCTTCACCAGTTCTTTTGACTCCCTGATCCATCTATGTATCACAAATACATAGGGCAGGAGAGAGAGAGAGAGAGAGAGAGAGAGAGAGAGAATTTGAAAGAGTGTATTGGTGGAGCCATTCTGATACTGGTATTTACTGGTTCATTCCTAGACAACTCCTAGCAGTGATGCAGGCATGAGGGCGGGGTGGGGATCAAACAATATACTTTCTCCGGTGGGTCAGATTGCTGCTCACAACTATGGCATAGCCTGCCTCATAT